GGAGTGCATGAGTGCAAGGCTAGATAGCCTTTCCGTTTTCATGGTGTTCCGCAGCCATGTTAGCAACCTAATTATCAATATACATAAGTTCCGTTTCTATTTTTTGTTTAAATTTTAAACAGTTTTCAAAGCTTATAACTGTTTAGGCATCTGCAAAATGCCGCAAAAACTTTTACTATCATGAAAATGCACTTGAGTGCAGACTAATCAATAGGGAATGCATTTTTTTTTGAAGTAAACTGTAACTTCTAGAGGCAGCAAGTGGAGTAACCCCTGCTATTCAGGACCTGAATATATGTTCAGGGGTAATTACCTCTAGGATTCTAGGGGGGGGTATTTACCCCCAGGATTCTAGGGGGGGGTATTTACCCCCAGGATTCTAGGGGGGGGTAAATAACCCCAATAACCCCCCTTATTTACGCCACTGGTTGGGGAGGCGGGATGACGGGTTTTGATGAATTCAGGTCTGCATGCAAAAATCATAGAGAAATCTCTAGTGATAAAGTCGGAAGGCTTTTATGGTCTTTAGGAGGGGAAATATGCGGGAAAAAGGGGGGGATTACATAAAGAGAGGAAGAAATGCAATATAGAGTCCAGAATTGAGTTTACTGTCCCAAGTTAGTGAGTTTAGACACCCGACTTGGACCTATCACAAAGTTTTTGAAAAATGTCCGAAAAATGCGGGAAAAATAAGGGGAAAAATTATTTTTCCTACATTTTGATGTTTGATTCAAAAACTAGATCACAATTCAGGCCTGCATGCAAAAATTCAAAGAGAAATCTCTAGTAATAAAGTCAGAAGGCTGCTTTGGCCTTTAGGAGGGGGAAAATGCGGGAAAGGGGGAGGAAATGGTATAAGGAAAGGGGGAAATGGATTATAAAATCCAGAATTGAGTTTCCCGACCTAATATATATGACTATAGACACCCCACATGGACCTATCACAAAGTTTTTGAAAAAATGCCCGAAAAATGCGGGAAAAATGCGGGGGAAAATTATTTTTTCCCCACTCTGGTGTTTGATTCAAAACTAGATCACAATTCAGGCCTGCATGCAAAAAATCAGAAATCTCTAAAAACGAAGTCAGAAGGCCCCACCCCCCACCCTTTGTATGGAAATGTGGACATTCCCCTTTATATTGAAACAAGGCAGGAAAATAATTATTAAACTGTAAACTGTATTATACAAAGGTTTTATTATTTTTTATCACAGCACCAAGAGTTTGCTAGCGGTAGAACCATCTGATGATTTGACCACTAAACAAGACTCTCTCAGGTAGATGTAGATACACTAGATTAGCTAGTTCAACCACATCTCTGTGTCATCAACAGAGAAGAGGCTAAATAGCCGTATCTGGTTTAACTTCTTGCTATACAAATTCCGACCATGTGGTATCAATAAATATTCTTTTTATTAAAGGGAGTGACCGGCCATGTAAGGTAGTGGAACTGAGTATGCAAGGAGATGGACATTAGACATTGTTTTGAACGATACTGAACAAAGAATTGGCTTTTTCAATGTAATTAAAAAAAAATAACTTACTTTGGCTTCCAGAAAATAGATCTATAACTAAGTGTTAGTTTTAGGCTAGAAAAATGAAAAACACAAAGCAAAAGAAAAAACTATTGTGTTTAGAAACAAACTAAAAAAACAATAAAATATTAGTTTATGTCTCAAATGAATCCGAAAGAAGTTTTCCAAAACCTGCATGAGTCATCCCTGCTAATGACTGTAATTAATGAAGATTTTGCTAGAATACGACGGAATTCAGATAAGGAGAAGTTTCTAGCTGAAGCAGGACGGGTTGGACGGGTCATCAAGCACATATACTTCGACTACGCTGAGTACACTTCAGCACATGGATTCAGGCAATATTATCTCTTTGTATACATGAAGTTTGTGTTTTATTAGCATGAAATCCTTTAAAAGAAAGCCAACAGAATTCTGTGTTTTCTCAATTTTCTTAAGACTTAGTGACTTCAACGGCAGATTATTAATTAAATGCGCACATAGCTTAGTAAGATGTTACGGCAAGGGGAGTGGTTTCCAGCTAGCCCAGGCAGGANGGGTACATTTTGCAGTGACTTTTTTAGACTACTCAGGATCTGGTAAATAATAAAAAACTAGTTGACAATATTTTCATAATGACAGTCATCCTGCTCTGCTCGAAAAAATTCCTATTTTTTCAATTTTTATTAATGCTTTGATAAAAGTATTTCCAAATATGTAGCATTAAAGGGGTGTGGCTGTAATCTAAAAAATATACCTCCATTCAAAAAAGGGCAAACCTGATTCAAAACGGTCCCTGCAAACCATTATCTTATCAATACTGTTTTCAAGGCTTAACAGTGTTTATTTTTGATAATTTCTTCAATATGTTTCCTGCAGGGGAAATGCGCAATGAATTCACAATCGAAATAACAAACATTTGAATAGGCTTTAGCATGACCATCTCATACATTCTTGCAATATGATAAATCTTTCAAGGGTAATGCTATGAATCAGCCACTTAATACAGTCCCTTTAATTTTACTGATATTGGATTTAGACACAAGTCCCTTTTATTTTACTGATATTGGATTCAGACACACAGTCCTTTAAGATTAACTGATATTGGATTTAGACACACAGTCCCTTTTATTTTACTGATATTGGATTTAGACACACAGTCCCTTTAAATTTACTAATATTGGATTTAGACACACAGTCCCTTTTATTTTACTGATATTGGATTTAGACACACAGTCTCTGCATCGACCCGCTGCCGGTCAATCACCTGGTCAGTTCTAGTCATCACTCTTCTCTGCCTAGCTATCGGAACTACCTACGCTATTACCAAGGTACAAACATAAATCTCAATAGAAGGGGAGGAATTATATAGGGTACTGTCCCGTTTTCCGCCTAAAAGTCGGCCCGGTCATAATCCGCAATAAACATAGCAATTTTAAATCGTCTTTGATTAATGTAATTGAAAGTTTATGTAGTGCCTGTAATTAAAAAATTATCGGATGCGTCATATGAGCTTTCCAAAATAAATGCTATAAAAATTGGTTGCTTTAAAAATTGTCAGCAAGTTGGATATTTAGACAAATTTGCTTCTCTTTAAAAAAATTCAAATATAGAATTTTTTTGGATCTTTCAATTTCTATGTTTATACATAGTGAGTGTAGGGTTTTCAATCGGAATTCCGCTGCGCGGAATAACAATTCCACTGGCATTGGAATCTCTAATCGTTACATCCTGTCTGATGTATGACACAGGGTGATAACTGCAGTCAATCATAACTTTCTAAAAATGTATATTTTTTCAGGATTATATAGATGGGACAGGATATACAATAGATATCAGTTTCATACATCACAAACCTGATGATCTGGAATATCATTATGTAATCAATTTAAAATTTTGAAATTTTCTTAAAAAGGGTCTTTAGGGTTTTTTGTTACAATACAACGATCTTCCTTTCTCTTTAACCAGCTTAATGTCTTAAATTTGACATCCAAAAGTATTTAAAAGGTATCTAGTAGCGTGCCCCATTTTCCAGTCCAACTTTCCAGAAATAACTTCCAGGCTAATATTGTTCTCTATGATGTCAGTTATCACAAGAATTTTTTTTTTAGACCTTTAGGAAGTGATCATGCAAGGCCCATGCAAATCGCAAAAAAGTCTACATAGTTTAAAAAATAGAGAACAATATTTGCCTGACAGTTATATGTGAGACAATATTTTTATATTTTGTTGCAAAATGGGGCACTGCATCTAGTTGAATTTTTCCAATGACAGGCAGTGTTAATTTCATTCCAGTTGTTCATCTTCTTTTCCCGAACACTCCCTTACAAGTTCATATCGTTCAAGTTAAATAAATAATATAATTCACAAAACCACAAGAAATGTTGTAATATTTAATCTTACAATTTAAAACAATGGACCGCGATCTATAAACTAAGAAGTTGAGATTTTCTATTATTTTTCACAAAGCAATGTCAATGGTAATATTTAATTGAAATTAGATCGCTTCGGACTAATCCAGACCACTTGAAACTAAAGTAAACTGCAGAAAATATTTAAATCTTACATGTTTTCAATCATGACTCCTCTTTTTAAAGACCTGTTAAGAATAACAAAGATGTTTTAAAAAAATGTAAGAAATTGCCACAAACTCTCAATTTCTTCTCCCGATAAATCTTTGCAACCTGATGTTTCAAACTTACATTATGTGATCTGTCAGAATTTACAGTGTGAAATAGGTCCACGACATTGGGTCGCAAAGATATGGGAGTTAGAGAATCAGAGTTTCTGTCAAAAAATAAATTTCTTACTTGTCTGCAACCGGAAAACTTTGCATTTTGATATTTCTGCATTTAATCAAAACTAGCGGAGCTATAAGGAGGTCACAAAGTAGAACAATAATATCGCATAAATTTGACCTGCTCGTTAATTGTCTGTTTTACAGTGAATTTATTTGTTTAGGGAGTTCTTCTGCCAGATATTATTCTTTGCGATCCTAATCCTTGGGACTTTAACAAGGATACATGTTATGCTTAATACTTTATAACCTTAAATATAGGGTTAACCGGAAATCTGGAAATAGGAAGACGACCTTAAAGCGATACCGAAGTGCAATTGATTGTTATTGCAAATACCTAAGCTATGAAAACAGTTGATAAGTGAAATGGGTCTCTGTTCTCTGCACAATTGCTGTGCCTCATGTCCATTAGACTATTTAAAGTCTAAAAGTCGACTTTCTATTCCAGAGTTTCTAGTTATCACTTTAAGAACCATAACTCAGCTCAAAATGTTTCTGAGGGAAGAAAGAAGAGATTCTTTCTCTTTCTCTTGAAAACACAATTTCACATGACCCTTCAATTGTAAAGTGTCATGTCCGATTAACAACCCGACAACTTAAAGTCTTTGTCTGATCAATAAGGAATGAGCTGAGTCAGAATTTAATGAATTTTTTTTATTTGAATACAATTTTAAGTGGATCCAACCATATTTGAGCCGCGTCCCAAATTTAAGCGGCGGCTAAACTTCTTTAAATTTAGCCTCTGGAAGTTTCTATATTTTTGAATTTTGATTATGCTCAATTGTGGTTTGTTTTTAAAAATCACTTGATGATTTCTGCTTACAGTAACACATTGAGTTAATTGTCAGAATTTAGGTTATAAGATCAGTCACTTACGTCTCAATTGTTCTGAACTAAAAACAACTTTGTTAGGCGGCATCTTTAAATATATCCGTGGATTTGATTTCCTACCTAGCAGGATACCTGTACCCAGAACATGCTTCAAACATACAAAGTTAGTTATTCACATTATTTCATGTAAATGTCCCAAGAAACATGACAGTTGATAGACAACAAAAAGGTCGTCTTTAATCGGCGTCAAACCTTATAGAAATCCAACGTATAGAAACAGCTACGTATAGCAACATGGGGTATTTTCTTGGAGAAATTTTTTTATTTTTGAGAATTAAACGTTTTTGTAAAACATTGTAGCTTATCATTATCATTTTCATAATTTCTATTTTTTAACATACCTAGACATTAAAGGAGCAAAATATTTTTATATTTACATTTGTACTGCTCTCTATTGTGTTTAAGGCCCCCCAGATTTTATTATGTACTGACAACATAAATGAATGATTATATGGTTATACATTAAAATTCCATTTTATTATTTGAAAAAATATTTTATAAAAATGCTATCTACAGTTTTATTTTTAGAAAAAAAAATTTCTCATAAGTATTAAAAAGTTCTCTTATAGTAATGCGAATATGATTTCATAAAATTACGTTTTACCATTTAAATAAAAGAATTTTATGAAAATTATATCTACTTTACAATGATTATTTAATTTCTCAAAAATATAAAAAATGTTCTCCCGGAAAATACGCCATGTTGCTATACGTAGCGGTTTCTATACGTTGGATTTCTATTTGGTTTGACGCCTCTTTAATCTACAGTTAAACCCAGTACTTCGGAGACATCAAAAGAATTTGTAAAATGTTGTGTTGACAATTGTTTAATGGGTTTTATACTATACTAGCTGTAGGGCCCGGCTTTGCCCAGGGAAAAACAACAACAAAAAATATTTGAAAAAAAACGTTGAAAAATCTTTTTAACAAATTGAAAAACAAGAATTCAAATTTTTTTAGCCAATGTCACCCCCAGAATACACGTGAGTGTCCATTCGGTCAAGCCGTTTGGCCGGCTATAGTGAATGCATGTCTTGTTCCATTATATAGATTATTCGTGATAAAAAAATGTAACAAAAAACAACCCCCGGCCATCCATGAGTGTCCACAAAAAATGTCAGCCCTTTCGGCCCAGCCATTTGGCCGGCTATAGAGAACATATTTATATATGTATATATGAATGTCTTGTTTTATTATATAGATATCTAAATCTTAGTATAAATGTATAAAAAAAAAATAATTTTTTTTAACTTTAAAAAATGATTTATTTTATTTAAGGGTTGTGGGCAAAAGCTCACGCATACAAATAAAACGATTTATCAGTAAACGTGTTTCCAGTTTGTTATTGAAGTCTTTCTATTTTTTGTTTTACTCTAGATTGATTAAAAGATATGTACCCCAACCTTTTACGTGGGCTGATCTTGCTTACTACTTTTCTCAATCTACTGAGTTAAGATAGATGATAAATAATTTTCGTCAAATGTATTTGTATTGATTTGCTAATTTTCTAAGGAAAAATGGAACTCTAGACACAATTGAGTTGAGTCCTTTTAACATTTTTTCCGTCACACATTTAAAAAAATAACAAAATAAAAAGCATAGCCATACAAAAACGGGAACAGTTTAAAAGAGCTCCATATAATTATTCAAATAGAAAACTAAATATCTTCAGCATTCCATTATTAGTAGGTTTAGACAACGACATTTTATAATTTTTTTCAGTTTCTCCGAAGGTCTGGGTGAAACATAAATTTGTGAAAGCCAAGACTAGATATTTCATGATTAGATGTAAAAGAAGGTTGATTGATGAATGCTGCACACTATTACAAAGATGAAGACGCTCTTTAAACTGTCTCTAAAGTTCTTAACTGTCATGTTAAATATTGACCATCCAAGATATTTTGAAATATATTTTTGATGGAGTAACTTGGGAATAACCATGAAAAAGAAAAAAAAAGTTTCTAGAATTAAAAAGATTGAAAGATTTTGATGCTTTAAAACTATTATTTTGTAGAAGATCACCCTGTTTTGGACGAATTTGAGTTGGCTCTAACTCAACTTGGCAGTGTGGAAAATATCTTAAACAATATTACTCGATCATGCGAGGAAAAAAAGAAGATCATAAAGAAGAATGGATTAATTTTGAAAATTCCAGCACTTGGGCCGTATTAAATTTGAATTCGAACAGGACCTGCCCAGTTTGTACCGGCCTGCCAGATAACAGCGTGTACACTGTACAGACCCGATCCTATTGTACAGTACGTCGCCCTAACCAGACTAACATATGACAGGCATCAATTTCTTGGCCTAGTTTCGTTGGTGAGCTAACTATGACAACTCCCATGGCACGTTCAGACTTTTTACAGTACCTGGCCTAATCCTAGGCCTATTTGACCGACCCCACTGGCTTAGTCCGCCATGCCAGGGAAGCTTCGGCTAAAATGACTAAATTGGCATAATGAGTAAATATTTTTCCGTAAGAACGTCCTTTGTTATGTTTTCCGAGACCTCATGAATCATGATAGCATAGACATTTTTACTGGTTTCAAGAAATATTATATTGATTAAAAATGATTTTTCTAGCGTTACTTTTTTACTTTAATATAATCTCTTTTATTCTGCAGGAAACCTTTATTTTGTGCAAACAAGGCTTAGGAAATCTTGATTTTCAAATAATTTAGTTGCACAAATCTTTTCAATATTATCACTAAAATGTTAATAACCTTTTCTGTATTAAAACCGAAAAATCCGGATTTAATCCTGAAATATCTATTTTAAATCCTAAAATATCCTGATGAAATCCTGAAATATCCAAATTAAATACATATAACCATGGATTTTTTTTCAATGCATCTGTGATTCTGTATATATTTGATACTTCATAATATTTTTATTTTTCAATACAATTTACTTAATTAAAACAAAGATTTTATGTCCGCTAGGTGTCTCTGCCTTGTGGAATCATACAAAGAATTAAATTAATTTTTTTACAATCCAAGTCAAATATTTTAACTTTCTGAATTTGCATGGACGCTACAGTCTTTGGCATGAGTCGTTTTTAACAATTTTCTCCTATAGACCCATCATAAACCTATACCCCCTTTCATTTTTCACAAACATTCCCTTTATATCCTGAAATATCCGAATTAAATATTGAAATATCCAAATGAAATACAGACATATCCTATTTAAATCCTGAAATATCCAAATTTATCCTGAAATATCCGGTTTAAATTCTGAAATATCATAAATCTTGAAATATCTGGCTTATATCCCAAAATATCTGGATTAAATCCTAAAATATTTGGATTAAATCCCGAAATATCCAGATTAAATCTTGAAATAACCGTCTTAGATCCTAAAATATCCAAATTAAATCCTGAAATATCCGGATTAAATCCTGAAATATTTGGATAAAATTCTGAAATATCCGAATAAACTCTTGAAATATTTGGATAAAATTCTAAAATTTCCAAATTAGATCCTGAAATATCCTAATTAAATCCTGAAATATCAGGATTAAATCCTGAAATACTAGAATTAAATCCTGAGATATCCGGATTAAATCCAGAAATATCCATGATTAGATTCTGAAATATCTGGAGCTGAATGTTGTTCCTCTCTACTGAATGCTGGAGTATATGTTGCAGAGGGTAAATGTTACGCTACCCGGAACAAACTAAAATATAAACAAAAATTTACATCCAAGGAAAATAATCAAAAATATATTTATTTTTTTTTAAATTAAAAATACTTTGGAAAATACAATTTGAAGACTTTTTTCTTCAAAATTTTGATTGTTAAATCAAGCTTTTTTCGACTGACAAGTTTACAAGAAATCATTGAGAACCTTTTTCCCCGACTGGAAATTCATAAATCACTTTTCAGAGACTTCTTAGACAATTTTCAAAATTAAAAACCTTGAATATCTTAAAAGGGTTCAGGCCCATGTGACTCAAATATGCCATTTAATTCTATTAACGTAGATTGTAGTTTTACTTAAAAGTATGTCTACAATGTCTTCAAGTGTGTTTTGATTAATATTAAAAGGCTCTCGGAGTGTCCTTTGCAATGAAAGTAAGTCCTGACGTATCAACCAGTCTTAACTCAAGTATTGCTCCATTTTCTGCTCTTGCATCAAGGTACGGTATAGACCAGTCTTAACTCAAGTATTGCTCAATTTTCTGCTCTTGCATAAAGGTACAGTATAGACCATTCTTAACTCAAACATTGCTCCTCTTATTATTTTTTTTAAAGATTTATGTTTCCAGACATGTTTTTAATTACAATAACTTTAAGATTGATGTTTGTCCCATTAGCAGTAGGAAAACCAGATATGGTCTGCTTTATTGTAGCCTCTTGACCCCATGCTGACCAGTTGACTTATCCTTAAAGATTTTAAGGGTGGGAACCCCTGCCTGTTGAAACAACTCCTCGTCCTCCTCCATCTCATCAAAGATATTGCTGTCCTCTTGCAGCAACTGAGTCCTACTGAGAACCTCTTAGCATGTCTCTCAATTCCCACCAAAGCTGGACACCTCTTTGTCAGTGTCCTCAGTACTGGGCTTTGGGGTGTTGTTTACACCAGTGCCACAGAGCCTTTTGGCCAATTCCAAGATGGCAGGCCTACTGGAAGAGATGTACTCCTGACACATGGACGCTTTTTTCCAAGAAATCTACCAGCTGCTCTGTTACAGTCCCTTCATCTGCTGCCCTGGAAGTAATGGAAAGTGTACTCCAAAGGGCCAGGTAGCTTGAGCAGAGCAGAAATCTTGTGGGGCACCTTGAACATAGAGTTCTGGGTTGTCAACATCTCAGTCTTCCTTCCGGTGAATCAGACCCTCCCCATGTACCTACCCAGCTGGTATTTTACCTTGTCCAAGTAAACAGCCAGCATATTGGCGAATCCTCCCTCCTCTGGAACCAGAAACTTTGTGGAAGTCTTATCTGACCTTTGCTTGGCTCTAGTGTGAGTGACAGTAAAGCCGCCAGATCTTTTCCAGGGCCAGATCCATGCACTCCATCATCCTTAGGCCTCTAAAGTACGCAGTATTAGCGATGTCCTGCCTCGCCTCCCAGTTGGCTGTGTCTAGCTTCTTCATCCAGAACTTATTGAGGTCCTTAACAACAATTTTATATAGGATTGAAATATTAATCACAAAAAAAGTCTAGTGTAGGAATTGCATTTTTGCCAAAAACTCTTTTTTGCTAATCTTTGTTCTTAGCAACCTGATGTTTTAGATCTTTGATATCTAAAATTTTGATTTCTCTTAGTTTAAATAATCGAAGTTTTGCATAACAAAGGTTGCAAAGATATATGGAACAGAAGAATTGAGTTTCTGGCAAAGACTCAATTTCTTTAATCTAGACATCAAAACAAAAAAAGACTTTTCAAAACAAAATTTAATCTTAACATAGTGATAACTAGAAAATTCTGTAAAGGAAGACTACTTCATAGCAAAACTTAACTATATTTGAGTCTTCAGTTTTCAGTTTTCAGGTCAACATTTTTATATCATCTCATTACAATGCTCAACTCCTCTTCAAACATGGAGGCCTTGTGCTTAGTATCTTCCTCAAACCCCTTGATTGTCATTGTGATCCTGGGAAGGGTCTGCAGCTTCCAGCCGAACTTTCTCTTCGTGACACTGTTGATGTAAGAGTAGCGTGTCCAAATTTATGACGTTGCCATTTTATTCTCTAGTCTTAGATGTTTAAAATAGGCAATAATGGCCACCTCTTCCACGAATTCAAAATTTTAAAATCCTTCCAAGACTTAACATAGGCCTTCCTGCTCTTGTCCTTAATCTGGGCGAAGACTTCATCATCTTCTTACTCTCGTTCATCTTTACACTTCTATGAATGTCTAATCAGCTCAAGGGTTCCATGTAAAAGAGTTTTGTGAATTTTGCGTTCTCAAAACAAACTATTTCATAAAAATACATTTTTCATTCAAAATTTAAAATCTATTCTAAACACATCCCAAATATATGGTATGTAATCACAATATGACATAAAATTACCAATGTACAGCCGGCTGGTTTAGAAAGTGCTAGATATTAATTTTTTTCTTTGGGACAAGTAACTAATGGTTTATATTCACAGGATATTTTAAGTGGGCAAGACATTTTTGACCTCAAAATTGTTTGGACCGTGCATATGCAGAAGAGATCTTAATATTTCTGAAGCAACCTGTATTGCATCCTTTGCTTAGACTAGACAAGGTTTTCAGGAATATATACCTGCCAGCCAGGGGTAAAAATCTTCCCAGGTATACAGTAGAATGTATCCATGGTACAAGAAGAATTATGTTTATGTACAGACTTTTTCATATATATATATTATTCCATTTTAAGTAAAGATTCATTTGAGTTGCTATAAGCTTTCAGTTCTGGCAAGACTCTCGATGTAGTAACCCGTATGATCTCAACCATTAGGTCTAAGAGTTGATAAATTATTGATTATGATTTAAAGAAATAACTATTGAGTCTATTAACTTTAACAAATTTTTATTTAGTACTTACTGTCTTAACCTTTTTATTTAGTACTTACTTTCTTAACCTTTTTTATTCTAATTGTTTCTAGTTCCAGAGGCTGAATATGTGAAGTTGTGAATAAATGTTAATACAACCATGTCATTCATTTACATACAGTGAGCCTTTTGAATATTTGACAACTTCAACAATTGTCCTCGTCTGTACTCAGGACAATTTAGAAGTAAAACATGTCTCGCCCATGTAAAATATCCCTTGAATATAAACTATTAGATATTTGTCCCGCAACAAAAATATCCCGCACCTTCTAAATCAGCTGTACTTAAATAGTTAAAATCTACAAGGTTTAAACTTCTAGGGGAGCTGCGGTGGCACTAACTGGTCAAAGACAACGAATCTTCCATGCAGTTTCAAAGTAATTGTGTATAAATGTTTTTAAATATATTAATTTATTTTAAACTTTTTTTTTAACTAAACTGATTTTGTTTAAGGAGCTTGAATTGGATGATGCCAAATACAGTTAATTTTCTGAAAATTTTCAGAGAAATTGTTGATGTTACGGATATGAAGAACAGCATGTTTCATAGGTATTGCATATCAAATATAACTTCAATACATATAAAACTTGAATTTATACTGCTAAGGAATTTATGGCTTTATTGGTCCTGCTACAAATCGTTATATATATATATGCTATATTAAACTTATTATGGAATAAGGGTGATTAATTTGTGACTTTTTAGAAATCTGTTTCAAGTTTCCAGAAGTTCCAGTGAAAAAATAATGAAATAAAAAACTTCAAAATGGCCCAACGCATGTGAATATCATACATCATTTTCTTAAAAAATTTATGCTGAATTCAAATTTGAAAAACGCTTTTAAAAAATGAATGAGTTAGAGCTGGAAAACTTGTCAAAAGCATTAAAAAGTTAAAAGTTTGGACTGTTATTTAGCTATAACTTCTTTTGTTTTCAAATTTCTTTGAGGCCCTATAATGATTTCTCCGAAATTAAATAGTTATATCGCAGGTGACGATTTTGACATTTTTTATTGTAATATTGTTTGAAGTGAAAACGTAGCACCCCCTGGGGGGGCGGTTGGCTCAATTCCAATATTGATCCCCCTAAATATGAATGGCTGTAAAATAAAATCTTGTAGCCAAAGTAAATACTAAATAGTAATGATTATAACATTGTATCTAAGATCTAACAAAGTTAATAGTAAATAGTAATGATTATAATATTGTATCTAAGATCTAACAAAGTAAATAGTAAATAGTAATGATTATAACATTGTATCTAAGATCTAACAAAGTAAATACTAAATAGTAATGATTATAACATTGTATCTACGATCTAACAAAGTAAATACTAAATAGTAATGATTATAACATTGTATCTAAGATCTAACAAAGTAAATAGTAAATAGTAATGATTATAACATTGTATCTAAGATCTAACAAAGTAAATAGTAAATAGTAATGATTATAACATTGTATCTAAGATCTAACAAAGTAAATACTAAATAGTAATGATTATAATATTGTATCTAAGATCTAACAAAGTAAATACTAAATAGTAATGATCATAATATTGTATCTAAGATCTAACAAAGTAAATACTAAATAGTAATGATTATAATATTGTATCTAAATATCTAACAAAGTAAATACTAAATAGTAATGATTATAATATTGCATCTATCTAAGATCTAACAAAGTAAATACTAAATAGTAATGATTATAATATTGTATCTAAATATCTAAATATGAAAATATCAGTTTCTCTATTTCTCAGATCGAATTGTTTGGCTCTCAATGAGGTTGAAAAATTGCCAGAAGAACAGACACGTCTGAGCTTGACACCAGGTGTGAACTATTTGGTAATTTTTAAATATGAATTCGCCTGATATAGAATATATTAATACTGTAAAGGTTTAGCACGCTATAGTTTATCTGGGTGTGAAGAATATTTGCTGCAGAAGGTTAGTCTTTCCCTGGCAAACTGCTCTATGCTCTACTTTCCTGATGTACCAGGGACCCGGATATGCGATCCAGTGGAAACCTCTCAGTTTATTGTATACATGGAGAACTTAGAGGAATTTGGGTAACTAGAGTTATTTCGAATAGATTGTGAAGTACATTAGATGGCAACAGTTAAATCGACCAACTGTGCACAACGTCACAAGTGTCAAATATGAAAGGAAAGACAACATTGTGTCCAACTAGTTAATATGATTTCCAAGATTCAGCTTATATAAATAACGTCTTTGTAGGAATACGTAAGCTATTTCAGATATCTATGAATTATAAATCTAAATCCCTTTAAAGACGACATTTCATTAGAAAACTACTTTTTTGTCCTCATTTTCCCGTTTAAACATTTCCAGAGGATTTCCCCAAATATGTCATTAAACATTTCTGAAATATATTTTAGCGTGTTATATATTTAACCCTATCCCCGCTGGGGTACTTGAAAACCTTGATACGCGGGGGGGGGGGGTCAATTTGACCCCCCCTCTAAATCCCATGTTTTTTGTCCAAATATGACAAATGATACATCATTAGAAAGCTCTTGTGCTCTACTTTTAGAATCTGCAAAATAATTTGCAAATTTGCGAAAATTGAATTTTTTAATCGCAAAATCCAGTTTTATAGTAAAAATGTTTGCAAAAAAAATTTTGTCCAAAAAATGACAAATTATACATTTTTGAAAAGCCCTTGACCATGCCATTTCAAATATGCAAAAATTTTTGCAAAATTTTAAATAACCTGATTTTTAATCAAGAAAAACTAAAAATGTGCAAATTTTATTTGACAGGTTGTTTGCAAAAAATTTGCAATTTTTTTTTCGCAAAACTTGGGCAATCCGTTTCCTTATGTCATAGGCTTTCCAAAAAGCTAAATTTTATCAAAATCTGACAAGTGAAAGTGGGTCAAAACAAAGATTTAGTTTGCTACAGGCAAAAGCAGTCATTCAGGCAGTGTGCCTGAGGACTCAGGCAGTTAGTATTAAAGCCCGGTTTTAGTCCTAAAGGGAGGGCTTTGGGTATGTAAGAAAAGTCAGAAAATTTCAACAGCCTCAGACCAATACTTTTTGAGTTATGTAAAAAAAACTACAGGGGGGGGGTCAAATTGACCCCCCCCCCAGCGGGAATAGGGTTAAATTACAATGTTATAAGGTTATTTACAATATCAGTTTCAACCCCCATATATTTAGTTAAGGGGACTTTAAATGAATACGTGTAAAAAAAGAAAATAAATAACACATAAAATTCCACTAATTTCACTAAAAGATAAACCACGTGTTCATGTACAGCCACGTGTTCATATAAAGCCATGTGTTCATCTACAGCCACATGTCCATGTACAGTCATGTGTTCGATTTTTAAACGAAATAAGATTTTAATTTGTATTTTGTTTTTTAAAAGTCTTGAACGAGTTTTATCTATCTCCGACCAAGAATGTATTAAAGTCTGTAGATCTACAACATATCAAGCAAAGGTAATTGAAAGATTGTTTTTAATAAATAATATTAATCCTAAAAAAATAAGGATAAAGATGTGTTTACTCAGACTAAAATATATGTTTTTACTTTTGCAAAAACAATACAATTTTTTATTTTTCAATATACATATCTTTCTGGTTTTTAAATAGGATACCAGCCCAGAGGAATTGAGTAACCTTGGCACAAATCTGATTATCTATATATCTTTGCAAACCCAATGCAATGTTAAAAACTTTTTAACCCTTAGATTTACACCATTAGGTTGCAAAGATATTGGAACTAAACAAATTCAGTTTGCAGAAAAACTTAATGCTTTTGTTTTATTCATATTCCTTTTAAGAAAAAATGTTTTAACCCAATTTATTTTCAGATTTCTTCAGCCCAGATATCAAACCGTATACAATCTTTATTTAACCTGTTTTCCAGCAAGGTCCATTTTAAAATCTAAATATTATGATTGAATGATTGATTATGCAAGTTTTTTTCTGGTATTATAATTTTTAGTTTAATTAATTTGACATTTTTGAAAAACAATTTCTAAGATGCCAACTTTTTTATAACACATATGAACTAAGTTCTTGCTACAAACTCAAATTAAAAACTTGGACTAATTATGCAACAGATCCGTATTAGTTTGAAATATGGAAGGAATTTAAGAATCAGAGTTTGTGAAAAGAAATCAGCTACTTTTTGTTAAACATTCAAGCTAGGTGCTTCCTTTTTTTAGAACTAAAGGGTCTTGCAAAAGTTGTATTTCAAAAATGCTTTGTCATATTTTGCGCAATTTTTGTTTTTGCAGTAAAAATCGCTGCCAAAGTAAATAGGATTAATTGCCAGAATGAGATTCATGCAGATGGAATATTTGTGACTGTTTACTACAGTACCTTTGATTATAAGGAAATAGCCTACAAGGGAAAGGTAATTTTTGAGTATTTATTTTATAAAATTCTAGATTTGATTTTTTAATTTTATATATAATTATAGAGTTTAAATGATTGGTTATCCGCTGTTGGTGGCAATATTGGTTTGTATATTGGAGCCTCTATATTTACTATACTAGAACCTATTATTCTCATAGAACAGGCTTTTACTGAGCTCATTTGCTCTTTGGTATCTAAACTTATCAAAAAATAAAAAAAGTTAAAAAAAGAACTGTTTGTAATGAATGTTATTGCTGTTAATTAATAAACTATATCTAATCTTTAAAAAAATCGTTTTATTTATAATGGAAAACCAATTACCAAAAATTGGCGATTTTTCTTCAATAATATTTGGACTTTTTCAAATTGGTATGTTATGCAGATTTTTAAAGAAAAACTCAAGTGCTTGAAAAATGTACAAAATGTCATAAATCAGTATTATGAAAATTTAAGGGTGGGTTCTCTGCAACCCCCATTCCTCTATGGATTAAGGAGGCGTCCAATTTAGGTTAAAACACCTGAATTTAATTTCTGTATTTGGAATGTAAAAATCAAGGTAATAATGTGCATAGGAGTTCAAAGTACACTTTTTTAACAAAGAGTAATAAAATATCAATCTTAACAAATGTGAATGATGGTTGGAATGGAATCAATCATCCATATATGGCAACTCTGCAGGGTGTTTACATAAACTAAAACTTTTTTTTTGTAAAATTCACAAACAAATGCAACTCTGTACCAACAAAAAGGGCATTTTATTGATACTCTACATTAAACAGCTATTCAAAGCCTTACTCTAAGGAGCTTCTAGCTGCTCCCCTACAGCAGCAGCCTTCAATTGTTCTGCACCAGAGAAGCTAAGGGTTCTAGGATTCATCTATACCAGCTTCTAGCAGCTCCCCTACAGCAGCAGCCTTCAACTGTTCTGCATCAGAGAAGCTCAGGGTTCTAGGATTCATCTATACCAGCTGTTGACCAAATCCCCAACAGAATTCAACTCCATAATTTAATAACCTCCCATATGTTCCGTAATAGTTTTTTAATAAACATTTCAAACCTCACAATATACCATTTAATTAGACTTAAGGTCTAATAAATGTAATTGCAGTTGCGTAGGTTAAAAGCATTAAATTTTATTAATTTTGATAATTTACATAATACTTTCCTATGACCAGTATATTTCATTGATTTTTTATGCGAAAGATGGATCCCATGTCAGACTTCGACATCCGTATTGTGTTTACATTACCGCCCAGAGACAGTAAACTGCAGTACAAAAGATGCGTACACCTCTGAAATAATTTTCCTTGCATTATTACCTTGGTAAGAATGAACTTGTCTGACTGAACAGATTCTTTGTGGGAATTTTGATTCGAAAAATACCCATCATTTTAAAAACCATTGAAAGGATGATTTATATTAGATTGTTTCACACTATGAATTATATTAGATTTTTTCACACTAAGAATTATATTGGATAATTTCAAACTATGATTATATTAGATATTTCAAACTATGAATTCTTTTAGATTATTTCAAACTAAGATTTATATTAGATTATTTCAAACTATGAATCATATTAGATATTTCAAACTATGAATTCTATTAGATTAAACATAGATTAAACAGATCATCTTTTATAAGGTGCAGCTATTTTTGGGAATCTATTACTCAAGAACAATCTTATAAATTTAATTTTGAAATTAATTTCATCTTATAAAATAAAAGTTTACAGAACAAGCTAGATATCAAGCGGAAATAATGTTAAAAGTTAAACGAAAATTCATCATTGGAAATTTAGAGTTCAGAGCTGAAAACTTTAGAGTGGGATATCCTTAATCTCGATCGGTAAATTAATCTCAAGATTAAAAATAAGAAGAGAGCAAGCAATATTTAATCTCGAGATTAAGAAAAAGAGTGGATCAAGCATTAATCCCGATATCCACCATTCAAAAGTTCCCAGCTCAGAGCTGATAACTTTAGAATGGAATATCCTTAATCCCGATCGGTTAATTAATCTGGAGATTAATAACAAAAGCAGAACAAGCATTATTTAATCTCGAGATTAAGAAAAAGAGTAGATCAAGCTTTGATCCCGATATCTACCATTCAAATGTTCCCAGCTCAGATCTCATAAATCATTTTCTTTACAATAAATAAAAAAAGAATTTATTCAACGAAAATTCAAAATGCCTGTTTGGTGTAGAAATCCACAATTGACACATAAACATCAAGAGAAAAAACATCAACGAAAACATCAATAAGCCAAGCATGTGGTACAGGATACACTTGAACTGTTTCTTTAAAATACATGCACAGTCCATTTAAGACCGTTCATTTCCTTTAAACATCCTGGAAATCATCCCTAGGATGGCTTCCTCTATTAGGATAAAGAACTCGAGGATAGTGAATACTGAAGCTCCAATATATAATCCCAGATTTCCTCCAACAGCCGCCAACCACTCTTTCATACCCTGCGAAGAAATGCAAGGTTTGCACTCATATCACATTAATTTATAAACCCAAGCTTGAAGCCAAACAGAAGTCATTTAGGAGACAGGTATATGCTTCATTCTTAAAAATTCAAGAAGCAAGAAAAACAAGAAAACAAGAAAAAGTAAGAAGAGAATGAGCCCGAATTTAAAGAATTTGAGTCACGCCTCAAATTTGGTTGGTTTCCTTGGAAATTGTTCAGTGTTTTAAGATTTGAGCCGGTTATTGGCGTTTCAGCGAGCGGTTGAAATTCTTTTAACTCGGCCTCTGGGTTGGAATTTACCTTTCCGACAAAAGTGATCTCTCTGTAGTCAAACCCTTGGTAGTACATTGACACCATTACAGCCTCAAAGTCCCCAGATTTCAACTGAAATAAAAGCATCGACATTTATTATTTTCGAAAATGCGCCAATTTAAACAAAAAAAAATCCGCAAAAATTTGTGAACGAATAAAAAAGTCGATTTTAAAAGCAACATTTTAAAAGATAATAATAATATTGATTATAAAAAGCATTGTACTTTACAATACAATACAATACAATACAATACAATACAATACAATACAATACAATACAATACAATACAATACAATGCAATACAATACAATACAATACAATAAAGTACAATAAATACAATGCAATAAATACAATACAATACAATAAAATACAATACAATACAATACAATACAATACAATACAATACAATACAATACAATAAAGTACAATAAATACAATGCAATAAATACAATACAATACAATAAAATACAATACAATACAATACAATACAATACAATACAATACAATACAATACAATACAATACAATACAATACACTACAATACAATAAAATACAACACAATACAATACAATACAATACAATACAAACCCCAGTATATCCTCTCATCACTTCATGAATACTTTCCGTCATCTTTATTGAAGAGATCTAAACAAAACAATAGGATTTTAGCGTCCAGAAGGAATTAAGTCTTTGACTCAAACTCAAATTTTGTAACTCCTTTATTTTGCAACCTGATGGTGTAAATCTTTGATATTTCAGTATAATATTACATTATTATTAGGAACAAAATCATGGATTGAAATATCAAGGTCACCGACATCGTGGTGCGAAGATAAATGGATTAGAACATCAGAGTTTTTGGCAAGCCTCATTTCCTTTGTATATCAGCAAATTCATGTTTTTTATCCATTTCGCTAAAAATGCAGCTCTTTTTTCCCATTAAACACATAAATACACAATTATTTGTTAATAATTACAAAAAAGTTCTGATGTGAACTAATATTTTGTTCAGGTGTTTAACAGTCAATCATATATTTTGGTAAAATTTGATTCTTTTCTAAACGTTTTTCGCAGATTTTCTGAAGATTACTTTTCTCTGACTCGACATTTAAAGATATTTTAACAAATCCGCAAATGCATTTTTAGGGAAAAAACAGTTTTTACCTTCGATGAGTATCTGGTTTTCCTGCAAGTTTCAGGGCAAACGTTTTCAGACGCAGTAGTAATATTGTAAGACTCATAATCACTGAAATATGATTAGAGATAAATAAAATTTTACCCAGAAGATCTTTAAAATATGCGCAAACGTAAATGTAAAAAATGAAAAGTTTAATCCAATTGGGCCAACATTTTTTCCTTCAGAAGTAAACCACCAGATGAAGATATTTCTAGAAAGAGATTAAAGGGAGTGACCGGCTATGTAAGGTAGTTGAACTGAGGACGCAGTGTTGTGGAAAATTAAATGGAAAAATATTCTACAATAAACTACAGACGTCATGTTTAGGAACATTTTGAGAAATTAAAAATAATCTTATAATCGAAAATAAGTAATCTTGTTCAATTATTAGTTTCTATTATCTCATTATTCTAGTTTATCTTTATTCACAAAGATGTTCTCAGATTTTCTATAACTATTATTGAAAAGACGACATTTAAAGAATTTGAAGAAATCTGTGAATAAATTCAAAGAAAATTAGAAATTCAATATAATAATGAAAACGATATAATCGATTTTAGCATTGATTTATTGACAAATTTCTTTTGTGAAATATGTTCCTAGCCATCTAATTAGATAACTGTATAATTTTACTTTATTTTTCGTTGTCGTTATTTGATAATTTAAAAAAAAACTAATTCTGAAAGCGTATCCACCCCCAAATCAGGAGTTTTGAACGTCGAATTTGCGCTCAAACTCAGGATTTACAGACCTTTAAAAAGTGAAATATGTCTCAAATGAATCCTAAAGAAGTCTTCGACAACAACACTGCATACTCAGTTCAATTACCTTACATAGCCGGTCACTCCCTTTAAACACAACTGAATACATGAAAGTACACAAACATGTCAATGTAAAAATCCTACTTACAAGTTAGCATCACTCGCAATCTTCAGTAACTCTGCAGTCTGCATTGGTCCGCAGACTTGAGCTCCAGGTATTTCTGGGAAGTACAGTACAGTACAATTGTACAATTTAAACAATTGTTTTTGTATATAGTAGCCCTCACATCCTTCAACACTATAATGTTTCAGTCCTAAATAAGAACTGAATTATGTATAAAATTACTTAATATTGAATGTGAATTATGTAATACTAGCTGGGGAAGCCAATGTATAGTTGTGATTACCACCGCTTTGTCGTAAATTAAGATTTTGACTAATTTTCCCGACTCGACACAAGTCAATCCACTCAACTTTAAGAATATCAAAATCAAGCTAATACCATTTTCGTGTCCGAGTTCCGGTATTTAAAATTGAGGCAAATCAGTCCGGGGGTTCCTGAGATATGAATGGACAAACAAACAAACAAACACCCGAAGAGAAACAAAAAATTACTACGATATTTACATAGATACTGTTACACAATATATATCTTTATATATAGATAAAGGTATTGTTTTGAAAAAGTGTCCCTTATATTAAGATAAAGCATGATTTACACGAATCCGGCTGAAAAAACATGAAAATAATGTATCTACTTATTTGATTCTTGAAATTATTGATATATGCTAAAACTAAATCTGCTTTTTAATAATAAAGCTCTTTACTCTCGTATATGTATATCATATAAACATATTTGTTTGCTGTAGCTGGCCAAACGGCTGGACCAAATTGGCTAACTTTTTTTTGAGGGAACACATTTGGAAAACCTGACGATGCAAGGAATCTATATCATACTTGCTGTACCATGAAAATTATGAAAGAGTGAATAAAATAAATATATCAAATAAAACTTAAAATAACGTTTTCAATTCTAATTAAAATTTTTCTAATATTACCTGGATAATCGTTAAGAACTGTCTGTTCATCTAGCATCCTGTCTTCTTGGTCTACAGGAATACAATCCATTCTAAACAAAACAAAATCACGATTTTACGATTGGAATTTTAAAATTTTTAACTTAAAAAAATAATTAATGACAACGGCGGCAAACTTATTTATTTGACAAAACATAATCTTAATTTATTATAAAGTTTGCCAACTAATTATAGATAGGTTTGCTGTTTAATTCGAATTCGAAAATAAGGAACTAGTTCTGTAAACAATATGTACAGGCTTCTCTGAGGTTTCAGGCTTTTTTGTGTATCCCTGTTTAATCAAAGAAACAAGTCATTTACGATCTAAACAATCCTTTCTTACCTTTTTAAATTTAATTAAAGTTACATTTCAGGTAAGCTTTTAGTTTAGATTTTAAGGTAAACCAAGTTTAAACAAAGAAAATAGTTATTGATAACTTAAAACCTTAATGTGGGAAGGAGGGTTGCCCAGCAGTATAATTTTTCCTACTATTACTTTGAGTTTTTTTTACTTAGAGACTGTAAAGGAAAAATTAAAGGGGATATAGTCTGAAACCTAGGTATCTTAGGAGTTGATCAAGACCCATGAGAGAGGTTTCAGACTATACCCCCTTTCATTTTTTCCTTTAAATTCTCTTTAATGAAAAACAACTTAAAGTACGTATAACAAAAATATCTAAAATAGCCCATAACGTTTTGTGACTAAAGCTACAGATCTAAAAACTAAATTTTTGAAAAGCCCATGAAAAATTGATGATCATATTTTTCCGACCCTTTTTTGGTATTTTTTCCTAACCTTTAAAGTTAGCGGTTTAAAATTTTTTACTGAGCTGGCCTTGAAAATTTGGGCTATGCAAATGCATTGCAACCCTACCTTTAAGGCCTTCACCCCCCCCCCTCCCCCCGATTAAACATTAATACAGACCCCCCATGGCTAAGGGCTTAGTAGTTAAGTAAAATGCAATTTAAAAAAAAAATTATTTTCAGATTTAAATTTACAATTCCCACAAAAGCATAAAAATAGACCTGTGCATGAAACTTTCAGACATCCTGCTCGTGTCTTTGACCTCCTTTAAAAAAATTAAATTTCAAAGATTTAAAGTCAGTCATTGACATATGTACTGTACTCCTTGATATATTATCGTAAAAGTAAATATTTCCATTTACTGTTTAGTCCCTATATAAGGATTCATCTCAATTGGATGATGAGATAGATAATGCTACCGCCATGCAATTTCTATTGGTTCAGAATAGACACCAAACACATGACTGAACCCTGATTGGATCAGGAGCTAATGGAATAGCATACAAGTATGTTGTACTTAAGTATCATTTATAAATACACGACTGTTTCTTAAAAGTTTCTGTAAAGAAAAAATAAAAACAAATATTTATTTTCTGTTTACTTTCATGTTTGTGATGTTAGAGGATTAAATTTTAAGAATATTATTTATTCTTTTCCTTTACATCATACTTGCGGCAATATATTGTTGGAAAGTATAACATCAAGAACCATATTGAAAGAACCAACAAACGACATGACAAATTATGTATATAATTGAGTCTTTGTAACAAACTCAAATTTTCAAATCCCTAAAACTTTTGAACTTTAATGAACTAAAAATTTCAAACTTAAATTATTTTTCAGCATTCATATTTTGAAATATCTACGACATTGGGTTGCAATGGTATAAGGATTTGAAAATTAGAGTTAGTGGCAAGGACTCAATTCCTTTGCATCGAAATTTCGAACATATTTAGACTTTCTACCTTAGATATTGCAATCCTGGCAATAGTATCTGGCAAGAGTAAGGTAAGATCCCTTCAACAAATATGTTATACAAAAGTATAGAAAAGGAAATAAAACTGCTGGAAATAAATTTTTGATAATTTAAACTGTTTTTTTTGTAAATGCTACAAAGAGTTATGTGTGCGTGCAGACATGATTTTTCTTATGCTTTGTGTAGCATCTTAGGGGTAGATTTATTCTTAATTTAGTTCATAAAGGATCCCTGCTTAATTTATTAAAATCCACAATGAATATTGAGATCAAGCAATCATTATTATGAGTATCCAACCCAAAAGTTCCCAGCTCTGTTCACTTATTTGAAAATAAACAAATACGGTCTCAACAACTTTTGGTCTCAAGATATCAACATAACCATTAACCAAGCCTCTATGTCTTGTTTTTAAATTTCAAAAAGATTTAAACTTTAAGAATTATTTTGAGCAGTAAAATATGCTTTGTGAATTTGGGATTCCGAAAATGTTCTTACAATTTCATAACAATCCTTTAACTCATTTGATTTTTGTAGTTTCCTTTGAGTTCTGGCTTTATTAGGGTTTCTTCTTTGATCTAATCTAATTTTTGAACTTCATAAATAAGAGAAAAAATATTTTCCTTGCAGCTACAGATGGGATATCATCTCGTTTATCCATTAGTCCTATAGCTGCACCCCTGGTAGCCATAGACCAGAAGGGAGCTATGGCAGGGTTCAGTTTATCAGATATATCTTCTCCTAGTAGGAGACCTAGGGATATACCCAGTATCTGGGAAATATCAAAACCCATTCATTGCTCAATGTCTTCTTTTTTTAACTAAATGTTAAGCTCAATTTCTCAATTTCTATGCTTATTTTCAAAATTACAGAGCTAAAAACTTTTGAATGGAGGATATCGGGATTAATGCTTGATCCACTCTTTTTCTTAATCTTGAGATTAGAAAAGGCTTGCTCTCCTGTTTTTATTAATCTCCAGAGCTGAAAACTTTTAAATGGGATATCCTGAATCTCGATCAGTTAATTAATCTGGAGATTAATAACAAGAGGAGAACAAGCATTATTTAATCTCGAGATAAAGAAAAAGAGTGGATCAAGCATTAATCCCGATATCCAGAAATCAAAAGTTCCCAGCTCAGATTAATTAACCGGTCGTGATTAAAGATATCCTATTCTAATGTTTTCAGCTCAGTAGACCTAATTTTTAGTCACCTTCTATTTTTAAAGTGATCTTTTTCTTTAACCATTTTCTGATCAATTGAATATGGCATTCTTGTTTTTCTAACTGAAATTTGATTTTTCCTTTGAAGTTACTATAAAATAAGTTACTGTAAAATCAGTTCCATTTTTAGTATTTCTGCTGTTCAAGCTTTATCCTGCCATAAAATCAAATATTAAATTTGTTTTGATATTCCTTGTCTGAATATTTTGGTTTGTAATGAAGTTTATCTCTTGAACTGAAACATTTTCCTTCCATGACGTATCTACCAGTATCCAGTATTCTACTGCAGCATTCCTCCTTCATATTCTTCCCTACACATACCCCAGTATACTCTTCTTCCTTCCATGACGTAGCTACCAGTATCCAGTATTCTACTACAGCATTCCGCCTTCATATTTTGCCCTGCACATACCCCAGTATACTCTTCTTCCTTCCATGATGTAGCTACCAGTATCCAGTATTCTACTACAGCATTCCTCCTTTATATTTTGCCCTGCACATACCCCAGTATACTCTTCTTCCTTCCATGAGGTAGCTACCAGTATCCAGTATTCTACTACAGCATTCCTCCTTTATATTTTGCCTTGCACATACCCCAGTATACTCTTCTTCCTTCCATGACGTAGCTACCAGTATCCAGTATTCTACTGCAGCATTCCTCCTTCATATTCTTCCCTACACATACCCCAGTATACTCTTCTTCCCTCCATGACGTAGCTACCAGTATCCAGTATTCTACTACAGTATTCCTCCTTCATATTCTTCCCAATACATACCCCAGTATACTCTTCTTCCTTCCATGACGTAGCTACCAGTATCCAGTATTCTACTACAGTATTCCTCCTTCATATTCTGCCCTACACATACCCCAGTATACTCTTCTTCCTTCCTTGACGTAGCTACCAGTATCCAGTATTCTGCTACAGTATTCCTCCTTCATATTCTTCCCAATACAAACCACAGTATACTCTTCTTCCTTCCATGACGTAGCTACCAGTATCCAGTATTCTGCTACAGCATTCCTCCTTCATATTCTTCCCAATACATACCGCAGTATACTCTTCTTCCTTTCATGACGTAGCTACCAGTATCCAGTATTCTACTGCAGTATTCCTTCTTCATATTCTTCCCAATACATACCGCAGTATACTGCTTTTCACGTTTAAGGCAGGGTTACCCGGAAAGAATTTTAGTACCATTACGAACTAAAACTCTTTGAAAATTGGTGCCTTGAAATAGGATTAAAATGGAATATCTAATCTAATGGCAATGTAAGAAACAAATTTACCAAGATTGTAAGAAAAAGACATTAAAATGTCTTTGCACGAACAGTCGCTCTAAAGTATGGGTTGATCTTGCTAGTACAGTACTTAGAGTAAACTCTTCACTAAACTCTACTATATCTTCGGTTAGTGTTCTAGTAAATAAGGGTGAGTATTATTATCCTTGAACATTTTTTTGTTTCTTAAATACGTATCTACTAATCTTATCTAAACAATCAATTCTTTATACACTTATCCATGTGAGTAATACTCATTTCCTTCCCTACTGCCCAAAAGAATTAAGTATTTGCCACAAATTCAAAATATTTAATCCTGATATTTTAGCAACCTTCGATATTTTAAACTCAGATTAGATGATCTTACTGAATTCATACGAAATTGCAAAAATTAGATGGATAAGAAAATCAGCCTTTGTGACAAAGACTCAATTCCTTATATAGTATTTTCTATTTTTATCTTATTGTTGGTTTATTTGAGATTATCTAAAAATTGTGAGATATTATCTGGGGTTTCCTAATCCTATCCTGCACCATTTCACAAACTCCTGAAAACAAAGAACTAAATATTGACAAAAGGAACTGAGTTTTGCCACAAACTCTGATTTTCTAACCCTGCATATCTATGCTACTAATTAAATGATAAAGTCTTTTAGATCAAATATTCTAAGTTTTAAATATCATAGTTACTCATTCATGTTGAAAAATATAGGATTAGATTGGTTGAGTTTTCTGACAAAACTGAGTTCCAAAAATATACGATTTATGACAATTATTTAAAGAACATCTTATACATTCACGATGAATTGACCAAATGCACATAAATATTTCTTAGAGGAGGCAACAACATTATGAAGATGTACAGCCACCTTATCAAAATGTACGGCCACCTTGTAAAAATGTACAGTAATCTTATCAAAATGTACAGCCACCTAATCAACATCTAAAGCAACCTTTAAAAAATGTACGGCCACTTTATCAAAATGTACAGCCACCTTTCAAAATGTACAGTCATCTTATCAAAATGTGCAGAAACCTTATCAAAATGTGCAGAAACCTTATCAAATGTACAGCAACCTTATCAAAATGTACAGCCACCTTTCAAAATGTACAGTGACCTTCTCAAAATGTGCACAAACCTTATCGAATGTACATCAACCTTAGAAAAAAGTACAGCCACCTTATCAAAATGTACAGCAACCTTATCAAGCTCTAATTTAACCTTATAAAAATGTACAGCAAATTTATCAAAATCTAATGCAACCTCATCAGAATGTACAGAAACCTTTTCAAAATCTAATGCAACCCCAGCAAAATGTACAGAAACCTTCTCAATGTACAGCAACATACCTCACAGGATCTAGTAACGTTTCCTAGAAGATTTTCAAAGCTTCCAAATCTAGAAACTTCCTTTCTATATTCTAGTTCTAGATCTTTCTGCAAAGTTTCTAGATAGAGATAATCTTGCAAAGATGAGGAAGAAAATATCACGTATTCATGATAATTAGGTTAAAAGAGCAAATCATATTAAGATGGAAAAAGTACATCAAGAACGGTATTTCCCAAAGGCATTTTCCTAAGGGTGATATCACATGGGACAATTTCCCAAATGTTCATTTAAAGGAATTGAGTCTTTGCCACAAACTCGGATTTTCCCTTTATCTTGTTAACCTGAGGGCAATATCTTTGATATTTCAAACTTTGGTTTATTGATCTAGAAGAATTCATAGTTTGAAATATCTAAGGTCTACGACGTCGTTGGGTTAAAAAGATATAGTGATTAGAAAATCAAAGTTTGTGGAAAAGACTCAATTCCCTTGTTAGTTTAAGCCTTATGGGGGGCCTAGCCTTGCGGCTAGAATGGGCTAGGTGCCGAGTGCTGTGGATAAGATGGGTTAGGGAGCTGACCGCTGCGGCTAGTGCAGATGGAAAATCCATTTGAGAAGTAGTCACTTGGGGGAGAAAACATTGAGAAATAATAATGAAAATATTATCTGTTTTATAACCTGGAGATAAGTCCGGGTTGTAGTCTGGGTAGATAAAGTAGGATAGATAGGAAACCATATCTATTGACACTCCAACATTCTTGGCCTTAAACATATAGTTTAGGAACCAGGCACAATTTGTATCATATTTATTTACATTCAGGTGTTCATAGTATTACAAATTACAATGCAACTAAACATTGATTTATCGACCTACGTACAATTTCGTTGTAGTTACAAATTTAATGAATTTAAAATGGACTTCACATGAATATCTATTACGCAGGAAAGTTTCTAATTTTAAAATTTAGGAAATTGAGTTGACTCCCCACCATAATTAGTGTTCATAAAATTAGGGTGTTCAATATGAACACCGCAAACAAGAATCAAACTTTGCTAAATTAGTTTTCAAATATTGTTTCACGTCAACTTGTCAGGATCAAGTATTTATTAAAGTTAGTGTTTGGCGTCCTAATTAATCTTTTTAAAATATTAACCCTAAACATACTGAGGAGGGGGGCGGGAGCGTCAAACTCCCCCCCCCCCTTCTAGTTTTTATGTCCTAGCACTCTGATTTTGACACTATCACTGTGAAATTTTGTGACTTTTCATGAATAGAAATTTAATGGCCTCGAAAATTGGGCTATGCAGATGCATTTCAACCTTATACCTATACCTATTTTCTAGGGGGGGAGGGCAGGGTTCACATAGATTCAGACCTTACAGCCTTTATAGAGTTAACAGTTTGTTCGTCATCAAGAAACATAGAGAGTTTTTCTATCTTTTAAAAAATAATTCTCTACAAGTCTGATATTTTACGCTTTTCTAAACTTTGTCTTGAAGAAAGGAAAAAAAATCTAAATGAAGCAAAACTAATCGATAACAATAATAACAATTTCAATTTCTTTAACAATTTGCATATTTTCAGAGGATACGCTTTTGCAATATGCTAAAATTAACTGATGTATAAGAATACTCAAAAACAATGTTGAAAACAGTTTCTGTAAAAAGTAAAAATGTTTAATGTTCAGATTTACTCTGAACCAAAACAAGGAAAAGAGAGACCAGAATCCTCGTATCTTTGTTTAAATAAAATGTGTGCTGCAGCTCTATGGAGGAATGATAGACATGGGAATAGAGTTAAGATTTTGATATCGTCTTTGTAAATTTATTTTTTGATTTAGTATGGAGATGTGTACTAGGAAAGATGTAATCCATAGATATTTTGTCTGCTAGAATTAGGAAATTTTTTTATGTTTTAATTGACAAACTGTTGTACTTATAAAATGAGCAACTCTGTTTATCATGCAGAAATGTTACAGAACATCATAAAACGTTTTGTAGAATAACAAAAAGCTTTTACCATTAGGGTACATAAAATATACTCTGTCATACGTAGGGCTGGGCACGTTCCAACATTTTCTAATCGTTTTGTTAACGGTTAGTACAAACTGTTTAAAAAGAAAAATTTCAGGTAGCCTTTGATTTTATATCGTTAAGGGCCCAGCCGTTAAGGGTTTATTTTAGTATAAACGGAGCAAAGCGCCAAAAAATTCGTTAACGGTTAGGAAATTGTTAACAGTGCAGCCTTAATGGTCTTTTGTAGTATTTACGGCGTTAACGGTTTGTCAAATCATTAACGGCACTATTAGGAATTGAACTATATTTATCCTTTTCTATACGAAAACACAAAATTCACTGTTTAAAAAAAATCCGTTTCGTTAACGCTTTAAAAAATTTTGCCGTTCGTTAGAAGACTCTTTCGTTAATTTTCGAAAACCTCCGTTCCGTTAACGGAACTGTGATCAGTCAGACGTAAATTTATTTAGACCTTTGAAAATAGGCATATATCGCTAATTCTCAACAGACACGATTCGGAATACATCTTTAAATTTCCATGTTTATTGGGACACACTGTAGACAAAACCTTATGTCCTCTGAGTTTATATATATTCATCCTATATATATTTTACTGACAACAAGATGTTTCTAATCCTGGTTTATCTTCCTAGCTTCGAACCTTCTCTAGATCCCAAGGGTTCGGGTCACAGATGATAAAATCCGGCATCACTACTCCCTTTTTTTAAATTAGCATTTTTTATCCATTTTTATCTAGTTTTTATGTACGAAAAAATATTAAATGCGTAATGTATTAAAATATAATCAAAGTTTCTGTGTTGAATGTCTAATTTTGTAATGGGATAAGCAAATTTATTGTTTGAAAAGATAAATAATTAGCATTGAAATACGCTTTACAGTTTCATCTAGTTTGATGGAAACAAGGATTTGAAAACGAAAATAAATAAAAGTAAACTTTTTGTATTTTCAGAGCTAATTTTCCTGAGCATAAACACTTTGTTGAACGATATCGATATCCGTAGTGTACCCAGACCCAAAAATATATTCCTTAATTTAAAAAAAAAGATAAAGATAAAGTTTAATTATAACATACGGGGAACCCACAAAGCATGAGGCGTTAATGACGACCTAGAAATGGAAAACTCTATAGGTTTATCTTGATACATTGATTTTAAGCCCTTTCTCGATTGGCTATTTTCCACCTGGNCACAATCCCGGGGGGTGTTTTTCACTGAACTATTTAGAAAAAGGATTTTTCCTTGATTTATAATAGACTGCATTATAAGGACTATAGGTATCATGTGATTGCTATCTCTGGAATTTAACTTCTAAGTTTAAGATGACAAATAAATACAGAAAAAATGTCATGTTTTGTGGAACACCCAGTATAAACAGGTATTCTGACATTTTCCGACTCAGCCTGTAGCAATTATTTGTAAATACTTTATTTTTCTGACAGAATTGATTTTTCATGATAAGTTCAATGATTTTTCTGATTGTAAATAAATTACCTCTCCCATTTTGTATGATGTATACACAGCAAATATACAGAAGAAAATGACCAGAATAGTCCACCCTATCTTCCTATACAGAGTCCCAGTAAACTAGGAATTATACGACATTTAATGAAGGGGACTGTAAACAAAATATCAAGTTATCGACTGTTAATCAAATCTATAGAACCGCTGATCTATTCACAAAAGTATCTTCAAAAGCGTATACAGAATGAAGGTTTAATAAGTGCTTTTTTCAAACGGGCGCGCCCCTCTTATTTTTTTGGATGAAGGTGACATAAAATTACACTGACATTTCCTTCAAGATTATCTTTGTCCTGGCATGACATTATTATGTTTATGTACGTTTAACATTTGAAACTATAAAACCTAACTCCAAATTTTTCCAAATGTTGCAAATTTGTCATTTAAAGTTTAAAATTGGCACTATTGGCCTAGATTTGAAAGCGTTCTAATCTTATTTTTTCGATTTAATTTTCAAGATTTATAAAAGTTAGGCAGCACATTGGAAACCTTTCAGATTTCTATCAGCCCTAATTTTTTTATCTGTTTCTGAAGATATTTAATGTCGTCTGCAATCTCCCGTGTTTATTTCTGGTTCCTGTAAATGGATGCACTACTGATGGTCCAGTGGAACCCATGAGCTGATGTACTGGATGCAAAACTATTGTAAACCTCCTTCAATCCATCAATCAATCTATCCTTCCTTGGCGGAGGTTTATTAGATTCATCAGCAATCATTATCTATTCTGCAATTGATTAGCAACTTAAAGGGACTGTAAGCGTATTTTCAAGTAACTCTTAATGCAAAGTGGGCATGGCCGATTCACCACGGTCCTTAAATAAAGCTTTGTCGGATCAAGTTTTAATTAAGATATCAATGTTTATTGGAAAAATTGTTTATTTTCAACTATGGATTCTCATGAAAGTGAAAATAAATGCACATTCCCACTACTCCTAGTCCTTCCTAAAAATATACATATATATAATAATGTATAAAAATGTTATATATATATATATATATATACATATACATGTATACACACTTTAAGAATATGTATATATATGTATATACAACCCTAAGGAATGTAATATTATCATTTAAAACAATATCTACTGGAGCACCGGAGCCTATTTCAACCGAGTTGCATCATTCATCAAAAAAAATTTTATTCAAATTTTCTTTAATGGGCAAGGCCGGGCCCTTCAGCTAGTTTTTTATAAATTACTATGTCAAAGTAAGAAAATGAAAATATGACTTTATCTTTTTTCATCAAGTTAAATTTTTACAAATAATAACAAAACTTGTTTAATCCCTATATTACAAGTTCTGACTGAATAAAATTACGTATTTGTTAAAAACCTGGATCATACAATTATTGTTACACTGTAAATTTATTGCGGGAACTTTTTTAAATTTTAAATCTTAATTGAAATTTTTTAATATAATATGTTTTTTTTTAACTTTAATAATTTATTTTAGTTAAATTTTACATTATTTAATCAGATGGAAACATTTTGAGACTTCTATATTTGTTGTTTTTCATTATTTCTTCTTGATCGTCCATTCCTCGTCCATCCTTTAATCATACCTCGGCTAATTTAAAAATAAATAAATTTGTAGGGGTTAAGTTTGACAACTTTTACAGAAATATCCTGATTTTTAACATAAAACATTAAATTTATGAATTTAGTCTATTTTGAAGGTTTTGTATTTTGTATCCAAAGGATCCTGAAATATCCCTGAATACAAACGTCTGTTTATTCATCGTCCTTATCGCTGTACAGCATATTTTTGTATGAAACAATTTTTTTCTGAGAGTAACATAAACAAAGCTGCACACTGAGCAGCACTGTGTTTGTTAATATTTCTCCAAGAACTTGCAGTACATTTTTAATGTAAACAAATACATTTTGCTTATTTGTTTGTAAACATGAACTAAATGTTGTGAACGATGTTCATAGGTATATTCATGATGACTTAAAGATTTAAAAAGATTATGAATGGTGTGTACTGTGTATATCACCAAACTACGCCTTGGAATTCAAAATAAAACTTCAAACTTAGCTGATTTGATCTAACAGAATTCATATTTTGAAATATCTAAGGTCTACGACATTGGGTTGCAATGATGTAGGGATTTGAAAATCAGAGTTAGTGTCGAAGCCTCAATTCCTTTAATGAAGAGCAAGCAGTAGCTCCCACAATCCCTCTTTTTTTTAAACCTGATAGTGTAAACTTTTGATATTTCAAACTTAGATTATTTGATCAAAGAGAATTCATAATTCTAAATATCTGTTCAACTCAGTCTACGTAGTTCGACTTTTTCTCGCTTGAGTCTTTGCCACAAACTTTTATTTTCTAATAACTATATCTATAAAACCCAATGTCATAGACCTTAGGTATGTCAAACTATAAACTTATTAGGAATTAGAAAATTTGAGTTTGTGACAAAGACTCAATTCTTTTTTTCCTTAAAGAAACACTTTGTGTAACATTATTTTCCGTCAAACGACCTAGTTTGAAGATTAAGAGTAAACTGGTATAATTCATGAGTCTAGTATTGACTGTAGCGTGCCAGAAATATAATTAATACACATAGAAGTCAGTAAAATTTACACAGAACTCAACATTACTTCTTTCGGTAATGTAATGTTATATACACTTGAAATATCATGCAATGTTCAGGGTTAGCAAGGATATGACTTAAATGATTGTAAAGTTCATATATACAACGGTACCATTGAAAACTTTGTCTGAATTACATATCCATGATTTTTCTTTTTGAAAACTGTTTAATTCTAATTGTGATTTCTCTGCAAAAGTTACTTGCGCAGTTTTTGCTTCAGAATCAATAAAAAGGAATTAAAGGAATTGAGTTTTTGTCACAAACTCTGATTTTCTTATCTTTATATCTTTGCATTTGAATGTCAGAAACCTTAGATATTTCAAAATATGAATCATTTAAGATCAAATAATGATAGTTTGAAATATCAAAGGTTTACACAATCAGGTTGAAAAGATATGGCGATTGTAAAATCATAATTTGTGGCAAAAACTCAGTTCCTTTTGCCACAAACTAAAAACAAATTTTCCACATAAAGCTTTGCAACCCAATGTTTACACCATCAGATTTAGGGATTTGAAAATTTGAAAATTGAAAATACATTTCAACCAAACGATATTATATATCAGATTTACTTTACGATCGATGGGTCAATGTTGAGTTTTGACCACAAATACATTTTTAAAATGGCAAATCAGAAGTCCAAACCTTTGAATGTATAGTTTGTAATTGTTACCCTGTATTTTAACACTGTTGAATCCAATGTTTGTTTAATATTTTAGTTTGCTCTAATTTAATAATTTGGATACTAATGCTCAATAAATTAAATAAAAAAACTGGCAGAAGGCAAACATGGAAAAGTGATTAATGTTTAATATTAAGGCTGGAGCGCAGTAAATACAATTAAATCCTCAAATATTCTACTATTTTTGAGAACTAGGGTTTCCATTTTTCCGGAAAAAAAATTTCCATTTTGGAAATGGAATGTTCCGGAAACTTTTTGCGTAAACCGGAATTCCGGGATGATTCCGTTTTACGGAATGGAAACCGTAAAATTTCCAGTTTCCATTTCGTAAACCGGAAAAATTTCCGGTTTCCATTCTAAACCGTAAATTTTTACGGTTTACGTAACGTAAACCGGAAAATTTCCGGTTTACGTCACGTAAACCGGAAAAATTTCCATTTTACGGAATTGAAACCGTAAAATTTCCAGTTTCCATTTCGTAAACCGGAAAAATTTCCGGTTTCCATTCCGTAAACCGGAAATTTTTACGGTTTACGTAACGTAAACTGGAAAATTTCCATTCCGTAAACCGGAACTTAAAGAATTTTTCTTATTTTAATTAAATTCATATTTACGAAATTTGAAAATTTGAAGAAAAAAATCGAGGATCATTGCCCCCCCCGCTAGCTACTGCCCTGCTAGTGGTAGAGTGTCCCCCCCCCTCGGTTTATCAGTTACATTTCACACTATAGTAACTTAGAATATGGATTATTGAGTATAACTTTTTCTACCGTCCGGCATCCATCCATATATTTTTAGTGTTACTAACTGGTGTTGTATTTACATATGTAAGACTTTAATGTAATTCTGGTACCAAATGTTCCGGAAACCGGACATTTCCGGAAAATTTCCGGAACGATATTCCGGAACGTTCCGGAATTCCGTAACGATCCGGAATTCCGTAACGATCCGTAATTCCGGAACAACGTTCAGGAAATTTCCGTTTTACGGAAAAAAATCGTTCCGGACTTCCGGTTTTCCGGAACCTTTTCCATAATGGAAATGGAAAAAATTTCCGGAACATTTCCGCACGTAAACCGTAACCCGGAATTCCGGTGGAAACCCTATTGAGAACCCATGGTTTTATTCCATATATCTTTAGAACCCGCTGTCGTAGATATATAAATCTTTTAATTTTAATTAGCAATTATTCTCAGTTTGATATGTAAAATATATAAACCATCAAATTGAAAAGATAAAATTTTTTGACAATTTCAGTTTTTGATATGAACTCAGTTTTGTAATGGTGAATATTAACAACATTATTTACTGCAGAAATTGAGACAATGATTATAATAATAATATAAACCATATAACGGGGTTTAAATCAAACACATTTTATATAAATTCATGTACATTTACCTTCTACATAGAAAATACTTTATAAATCAAAAAAAAAAAAAAAAATTTTAATCTTTTTCTTGGTCTGTCACAAGCCCAGCTGCCTTTGCCATTGAGTAAAATCTAAAAATATAAAAATTTTTGTAATTTTGTTACTTTTATAACTACATACTTTCTATATTTTATACTTTAAAGAATAATTCAATAAGATATACTGATAAAATCTTAAATCGTGTGTAACAAAAGTAACCTCTTAAGTTAAAGTAAAGAAACAAAAAGAAAAATGTATAATTGTATTATTGCAGAAAAATTAGAGCCAATACAATTTACAAACAGCTGACAGATTTTTAACTGGATATTTTATTATTGTATTGTATTGTATTGTATTATTATTCCCTGTGGCCACCCAAGTGATGTCCCACAAAAAATTTGGGCCCGATCGGTTCAGCCGTTTGTACGTTTATTGGATACAAACAAACAAACAAACAAACAAACACCCAAGCCAAATTTATATATAGATCTAAAATATTAGATTTTACAAGTTGTCCAACCTTGATGTTGAGTCTGTGAGTAAGGTTTGAGGATGTCCTTGCTCCACTACTCTACCCTGATCTAGAACTAGGACTCTATCTCCTCCAGTGATAGTGTGCAGTCTAAATATCATTCTTCTATTATCAGAATTTAAAATAAAAGGTAATGATTCTTTGTCGGAAACGTTTGAAATATAAAACGTTAACACTGTTAGTGTTAGGTTCCAAAGGTACAAGGATAAGACAAGTTGAGTTTGTGGCAACGACTTAATTTATTTAACTTTTGAGTCACTTGAATTTTTTAAAAACCTAACAAGGTTATAACCTGAAACAAAAGGATTGATTTTCCTAGTATTTCTCTCTTATAAAATATGTATTGTATAATGTACTCAGCTTGATAACTCAGCGTTTCCCAAGCTACTCCCGCCGTTTACCCGTGCTTAGTCGTAAATTACGATTTTAGATATTTTTCCCCTCTAAAAGGGAACCCACTCAACTTAGAATCTCAAAACTAAGATAAGAGCATTCCTCAGTTATGTTCGGACATAGAAACACTCAGACGAACATTTCTACTTTATAGATATAAAAGCTTGGGAACCCAGGCTGGCCAAAATTATTTCCGTCGTTTACCTACCTCATGTCGTAAATTACGATTTTAGTGAACCCACTCAATTTACAATCTCAAATCCAAACTAAGAATATTCCCGTGGTTCTCCCTAGTTTCTAATCAAAATTTCAGGCCAATCGATCAATGGATTCCTGACTTATGATAGGACAGATAACCCACATAGATTCAGCCTGCTTATAAAAAGTTTCATCAATATTGGGATTTGATTTTACCGCTCTAACTCACTTATTCTTTTCTGTAGCCCTTTACATTTTCACTTTAGCAATACAAAGCACTTGTTGTTTGCTTTGGTTTTTAAGAAGCATAAATTAGCGAAATTCTCATCGATTTGTGCATAACAACTTAGGACCTTTGAATCACGGTAAAACAGATATTACTACTTTATATATATATATGTGTATTATGTATACCTATGTGCTATAGTAACCACAGTGCAGTCCTTGAACTCTCTTCTGATAGTTTCCTGAATTCTCTGGTCTGTAGCAGCATCTACCGCTGCTGTAGCTTCATCAAGAATCAAAATCTTAGATTTCCTAAATATAACATTTAAAGGTCTGTAGTGATCCTCTATTGCCCGAATAGATTCTAGTATAACAGATGGCAGTGTAGGATTTGCACACTCTCAGTACAAGCTGTATTCTGACGTCACAAGTGTCAACTTAGTTTTTGTGTCCGACAAAATTATTAATAATTGTGAGAATTTTAGAATTAAGTGCTTATCTTATGGTAAAATAAGTGCAATTTAATGTGTTCTTTATTTTCTGTTTTTACACTTTTTTATTTAATCTTGGAAACATGTCAACTAATGGGAGAAAATGTTTCTTGTTATATTTGACGTCGTGTATAATTGGTCCATTTCTCTGTTGCCACCTATATGTACTTAATAATCTATTTGGCCATGCCGAAGCACAACACGATAATCTTTAAACCTTTATCTGCAGTAGTTTTACATTAATTTATCGTACAAATGTTTTGCTTATATCTGTTAATATTATGTTTCGTTTTCATATTATTTTATTGTTGTATGTATTGTCGTTTTTTAGCATGAAAATCTATCAATTTCTTTCAATTTCAATTCCATGGAGAAACAGAAATTAAAAATACTCAGTTTAAAAATAGGCTTATCTTATATATTCTTGAACAGATGAAGCTTTTAACATTCTACGGTCCCATTCTGTCTATGTTAATGTAAACATTGGAGGATTTTACATGTAGGGTAGCGTTCGCAAATATTTCTTTATTCTTTTAGATCTTGAAAAAGTACAGTTCGTTTTATTACTTTTTAATGAACCGGAAACCCATGGGAAACCACATTTGACAAATTTTAAAAGAGAAGATAGTGGATATCTCTTGCATTATCAAGCAGACAGAGGTGTAACGGGTAACATCCTAATTTGGACAACCCACTCTATAACAAATGGAGGCGTTCTTGAAATTAGGTCTTAACAGTTCGTTGAAAGAGACTGTAAGCAAAATTTTTAGTAGTAAACTCATTTAAGGTTGTCAATGCCCGATTCACAACGGTTCTTGACACATTTATTTTATAAAAAATGTGAAAAGTGTTGTCGTTTTTTTAGGTTTAAAAATGCTTAATTCTGATATTACTTTCATTGGTTTTGCCGCAGGCCACTTTTGTAGAGAAACCACAATGGACAAAAATCATCTTCAAGCTTGTCAAGGTACCGATGTTAATCGGACATTGCCATGTTTGCTTAGAGGGTCACTTGAAATTATGCTTACAGTCCCTTTCAGAAGGATCAAATTGTTAAAAATATTTTTTTTTATCATCTTTGATTGTAACAAACCTGAGTAAAGCCCGGGCTAAACAAACCAGCTGCCTCTGTCCTAAACTAAGGCCTAATCCTCCCTCGGATACATGTTGCTCCAGAGTAAACTCTAAACTTAAGCCGGATTTCCGTAGAGCCTCCTCTATCTGGTCATCTGGATACTCCTCACCTGGGTCTAGGTTGAACCTCAGGGAACCAGAGAACAGAGTGGGATCCTGCAAAACAATCATTTTTTTCTGATATTTTGGGTGGAAATGCAATCTTCAATTGAGAATTATACAGGTTAAATACATTTTTCTCAGATCTAGTTTTTTTTGTAAAAAATAACAATAATGTTCCCATTATTTTTTTTTAAATCTTTTAACATTTTTATCTTCGGTGAAAAAAAGTCATTTTTTAAATATCCTTAATTTTTTTCTTCCATAAATCCGCACTTGCAAAATATAAAGTTTCAGATCAAAAAACAAGGATATCTTTTTATAATTTTTGCTTAAACTATGGTTTTATTATACCTAGATAATAAATCAATCTTACCTGTGGAATAATAGTGATCCTAGATCTCAGATCTTGTAATCCAACCAGACCAATATCCGTCCCATCTATCCTGATAGTTCCTGCTCCAGGTTCAAGTATCCGGAATAAAGCTAGAGACAAGCTTGATTTCCCAGCTCCGGTCCTACCAACAATACCAAGCTTCTCCTGGTCCTTTATCTCCAGGGTAAAGTTATCTAACACATTGGGTAGTTCCTCTCTATACTTCGTACTGTACTTGTCAAATACAATTTTACCCTGATCAGGCCAAACCTAAAAATTTACAACATACTATTTTCCTTAAATATTTTACTGTTGAGCTGGGTTTTTCATTTATGGCTTTTAATTCATGCACTTTTTCCATGCACTTTTTTTTGGGTTTAGAGTTCTGAGTATTCTCTTTGGAGTTATCAAAGTTTTAGTTCATGAACTCTTCTCATAGGATGTTTTGAGGGTTTACAGTTCTGGGTATTCTCTTTGGAGTTATCAAAGTTTTATTTCATGCACATGACGCTTGTAAACAAATAAAGAACACACACAGTTATCTTTTAACTTCTCGGAGCTTTTAATGTTTACAGCTTAATGCTAAACAAAATAGAAGTTTCTTTTAATACAGAAAATCTAGAAAATTAGGTTTCACTTTAAAGGAACCTCCAACTATATTTTATTTGTCCTAATAACAACTCAATCGCAATGGAATGTCATAGAGCTTAAACTTCTTTGACATTTTAAAATCCTAAAAATGCAATTTATTTTATCTTTGAAAGCGTATCAAGTTATGCTCTTGTTCAAAAGTCCTTGATTTGCGATTTTTTTTTGAGATTTTGTGAAAACGTTAAGTTTTATTAAATGATTTACAGAGATGGAAATGGACAAGATTTTAAGAAAATTTAATAAGAATATGTTTTTTCTTACATTATCTAGACCCCCCTCTGTCTCCCAGTTGTTTTCCTGCGGTAGTTCTTCATATTCTCTTATTCTCTCTAGCGCTATACTATCAGATTCAAGTTCACCAGCCATTCTACAAAACATATTTTAATTACAAGGATTGTAAGCGTAATTCCTAGTGACCCTCCACCTAAAGAGTTAAAAAATACAAATCAAAAAATAATATCTCCATTTTTCTATAATTAAAAAAATTTAATTCTGCCTAATTCCTACTTTTTCTATGCACATCTTGAAGAAACTCAGATAAAAATAAAAAATTTAGAGAGAAAAACAAGGATATCAACATATTTCATAATTTAGTTCAAAGATAAACTTGATTGATAGATAGATGGTTTACCTGACTGTCCAACCAAACCCATCAATCATGACCATGGAGTAGGATATTGATAACCCAGCTAACCCTGGAGATATGCTCTCCCTGTAGTAAAATGACATGATAGCAGCCAAGAATACTATAATATTCCCTAGAATCTCAACTCTTATACTCAACCATCGATTGGTCATCTCACTGATGTAATTGCATTGAAGATGCTTGGCCACCCTGTCTTCGGAATCTTTACAGAATCTTCTTGTTTGACCAAAAGCTCTGATGGTCGTAGCTCCTGTTATAGATTCTGTAAAGTGGGAATAAATAGGAGATTTTGCCACACTTTCCAACCTTTTAACCTGTCTTCTAGTTCTTGTATAGTAGATCTGTAGAAATGTGTAGATGATAATGATTGGAATCAGAGTGACAAGGAACATCGGAGTTATGCTTGATACAACCAAGAATGTTCCAACAATCATAAAAACACATCCAAGGAACTGTCTCAACTGATTCGGTATCTTTTGATCGATCACATCCAGGTCTGACGTGAATCTGTTCAGAATCCTGCCGATAGGGTTAGATTCAAAGAAAGATAATGGTGCATGCATTGTTTTCTCCAGCATGGCTTTATGAAGTTTATCAGATGCTGCTGCCCCCCTGTATCCTATACCTATGTGACTAAGCATCCCACAAACTGAACAAAGCACTCCCGTAAGCGCATATAGTCCAATATACTTAGCATTAGTTTCAGGACTATAGTTAGAGGTCCAGGAGGATAAAATCAGATTGCCACCAACTAGGAAAGCTTCAGCTGACATGAAGATGAGAAGAACAATAAAGAATAAACCCATGTTCATACTTTTTAAATAGAAAATATAATGTTTTAAGCTCACTCTTCCTTCGGAGCTCTTCTCCTGCTCAATAAGTTTTCCATCGTTTTTATTTTTAATTTCTTTTTCAGCTGCTTTTCCTGTCTCAGGAGCTTCCTCAGATTCCTCCTTTCCAACAAACTTTTCCATTTCTTGGAAAAATTCACTTTTCTTATTCTGCAGTTCTTCTAGAGTTCCTTGATCTACTATTCTTCCATCATGAAATAACAAAATCCGATCCACTTTGTGTAGAACCCCAAGGCTGTGTGTCACGAGAATTCTTGTTCTGTTGTTCAGGTAGCCGTTAGGCCCGATGAGGTTGTCAAAAATATGCTTTGATACATGAGCATCAACTGCACTGAGGGGATCATCCATAAGAACAATATCTGCTCCGCTATACGCTGCTCGAGCTAATCCAACTCTTTGCTTTTGACCCCCACTAAGGTTGACTCCATTTTCTCCTATTTCCGTTTGATCTCCGTTCGGTAAAATTTCCAAATCTGATTTGAGTGCACAATTATAGATCACGTTTTCATAATTCAGAGGTTCAAATTCATTTCCGAATAAAATATTGTCCCTGACGGTTAGGTTTTGAATCCAGGCTTGCTGTGCAACATAGGAAACTTGACCATTTATAGTTTTAGACCCACCGACTTTTTGCATCTCTCCCAGTATGGCAGACAAGAAGGAAGACTTTCCTGAACCAATCTTTCCAACCACAGCAACTAGCTCTCCTTTCTTGATATTCAGGTTGATATCACCCAGTGTGGGGTTAGCTGTTTTTCCAACCCAGCTAAAATCTGCGTTTTTCATTTCAATGGCAGTTAAAGGATCTGTGATGTCATCAAAAGGATCACTTTCTTCCTCCAGATCCTCACAGTTAAAGAACTTATCAATTCGCTTGACAGACACCCATAGTTTAACAGATTCCATTACAAATCTTGGAAACTGGTTCATTGGTATCCTTACAACGTTTACAATAGCTACTGTACCAAACACAGTTTCAGCATTTAGAACATTATTCTCCGGGTCAATGTAAACATAACAGATGAAAGTGATCAAAATGACAATAAGAGGTGCAGCAGTGAAGGTTATCCAAAGAAAGGCTTGGATCACAGCATTTCTAATAAAACTATGAATCTCATGTTTTCTATGCTCGTTGATTTTTTTCATAAATGGTTTCTCCCAGGCGTACAGTTTTAATACCTTCATTCCTTGCAGGATTTCGTTCATGAACAGGATTCTTTTATCTTTAGCTATCATCTGCCTAGCCTGGATTGATCTTCCATACTTGCCTCCAAAAAGATTGACTGGAACAAGGAGGAAAAAAACTGATAGTCCAATGAATGCACTAATCCCAAGGAGATCATACAAGAAGTAGAAAGCCAGGGCAAACTGAAATGGGCCGGACCACAGGGAGTTCAAGAATGGAACTATTTCAAGAAATCTCTGAAAATTTATTTTTGTATTAATTAAAGTTACTTTCTTACAAGATATTAATATTAACCTGCGAATCTATGGACATCAAGTTTGTGATTTCTCCAGTAGAAAATTCTCTCCTCTCCACATTTGAAATAGTTAAAGTCTTTTTATATATTGCAGTTATTACAGCAGATCGCATCTGGAAGGCTGCTACATAAGTCTGCCGGAAGTAATGATTAGAGATTGTAACCTAAAAATAAAATAAAAGATTGTAAAAAAATAAATACTGGTTAAAAAAAATTGTTAAAAAATAACATTTTATTTAAAAATAACTATTTGTTTAAAAATTACTATTTATTTTAAAAAAACTTTTTTTTAATAAATTTTTTTTTAAAAAAAACTTTTTGTTAAAAAAATAACTATTTGTTAAAAAAATAACTAATTGTTTAAAAATGACTATTAGTTTTAAATTACCTATTTGTTAAAAAAAAACTATTTGTTTAAAGATGACTATTTGTTTTTAAAAAAACTTTCTTTTAAAATAAATTTTTTTTTAAAAATTACTTTTGTTAAAAAAATAACTATTTGTTAAAAAGATAACTATTTGTTAAAAAAATAACTATTTGTTTAAAAATGACTATTTGTTTAAAAAAATAACCATTTGTGAAAAAATAACTACTTGTTAAAATAACTTTTTGTTATAAAAATAACTTTTTGTTATTAAAATAACTTTTCGTTAAAAAAAATAACTATTTATTTGAAAATAAGTATTTGTTTAAAAATAACTATTTTTTAAAAATAAATATTTGTTTAAAAAATAGTTGTTTAAAAGTAGCTATTTGTTTAAAAATAACTATTTGAATAAAAATAACTATTTATTAAAAACGCTGCCTATTCTAAGGTTGCTGTTTTACTTCAAAACATGTTTTTAAATAAAGACAACAATGCTTATGTTGAAGAATTTGAATAAATGTGTTTTCTCAAGATGTCGACCAGAATAAATAGCTGAAGGCATTGATCTTGTTTTTTGTGAATTTCAATACAAAATCTACTGTGTTAAACAGATATAAAGATTTGACAGACAAACATGCAAATGCAATTAAGATTTTATTGAAATGAAAAAGAAAATGGAAAATTATTTTGAGTAATTTTGTATTTTAAGAGAAAACTTCCCTGGGAACTCAGCGCTGCCCAGGCTATTAAAAGTTACTCATGCCGTTTACCCGCACTTTGTTGCAATTAAAGTTGACCCACTCAAATTCGAATCTCAAAACCAAACTAAAAACTTTCCCGTGGATCTCCCGAGTTCCCCAATCAAAATTTGAGGCAAATCGGTCCAGGGGTTCTGGAGTTATCATCGGAAAAACAGACAAACAGAGATTATATATATATATATATATTGGAAGAAATGTATATTTAAACTGAAAAAGTTGAAAATACTATACTATATATATATATATATATTGGAAGAAATGTATATTTAAACTGAAAAAGTTGAAAATACTATACTATATATATATATATATATTTATATATAAACTTAGTGATTGTACTGAAACGTTTTTAGAATTATTTCATGGTTATGTATGTTTGTGGTATTTAACCTTGAAATTACAATTGAATATGTTGCAAAGTACATGTCTGAAAAAGTGTACTTCCCTTGCTTACATCTTTTTTAATATTGATTGTATAGGATAAATTTACCATAGACACATATCTGTGTGTCTGTCTGCTTCCCCCGTCTGTATGCTAACTTGTTATAAAGCTGTAATTGTATATTCTGTATTAAAATATATGCCTACCACTAAACCTTTTATATAATGTTTGCTACCTGTGTGGTAGCCGTTATAAGAAGTATTACAACCCAGAAATATCCTTTCCAAGCATGGTCGTCGGTTTCTATCACGTGCAACAACCGTCGAAACACCTGCGTTAGTCAGATATAAAATATAGTTTGCACTTTTGCAAACATAAAAAAGTAATATTTTCCATCAATTAATAGTTTTAGATAATCTTCATTTAAACTTTCTGACCATAAGTTGTTTGTTTTTGTATTTGGTAAAATTTTGAATTATGAAATCATAGCAAATAGTTGTTTTTGTATAAAATTAGATACAAGTTTTTATCAATTGAAATAAGATTAATCAATTAATAAAATTAAACATAATCTTTTTTAAGACAGCCCTCATCAATCATTTAAAAAAGAATTTATTATTTGCCACCAATCCCTTTAACTTATAAACCAATTTGTGTGAAGCATTGATCAAAATTAGATCCAACTGTATTATTAGTTTGAAATATCTCAGGGTTTTTACATCAGGTTGCAAAGATAAAAAGATTGGATAATCAGAGTTTGTGGCAAAAACTCAATTCATTTGAATCATGACAGGAGAGATAAAAATCAATATTACCTGAGGTTGTTTATTAAGCTTCTATACTCTGGATGTACTCCAGTGTAAATAAAATGTCGTCTCCATAGCAGTCATGGACACTCATTATTATCATATGGTGCGAAATTGTTTTACCCTATAAAGGCTGGGGAGTCTGAGTTTATGTATAGCCTGGGGGCGCCCCCCTCCTCGAGAAAAAGGCCTTAGAGAATAGGTATAGTGTTGAATGCATGTTCATAGCCCATGGCCAGATCAAAGAAAAAACATTAGACAGATAACTTTAATAATTTAGGTGCTAGGGAGGGTGGACAAAAAAATGCCTAAAAATGGGTAAAAAAAATGAAAAAAATATATTTATTTGTTTTAAACAAATATCAGTGTTACACATGTTTCTACATGCTCAGTTACGTCATTTAAGAGATCTTTGACTTTCAAGCGCCATAGAGACGACATTTTAAAATATTAAACTAAAAACAACCTTGGGGCTACCTGAGGTGTGGCGTATAGAAGAATATCATTGAGAAGTCTGAGCAGAGCTCCGGTTATAAAAGTTCCTCCAAACGATTTGACCAACAGTTTCATAATACTTTTCTTAGGTTTCCTTTTCGAATCTAAAATTGGAAAAGTCCTAAAGGAATTGAGTCAGTGCTACAAACTCGAATTTTCTAATCTCATATATCTTTGCAACCTTTTGATGACCTTGATGTTTAAACTATCTAATTTAAAAAAATTCATAGTTTAAAATATCAAAGTTCTACAAGATTGGGTTGCAAAGATGTAGTGACTAGAATTCCTTCATTCAACAACCTGCTATTATAGTATTCTTATTTTTTGTAATTTCAAAAATATTTTTTTTATGCGAAAAAAAGAGAATTATAATAAACATATCACAAAGACATAGCAAATTATGAACAACTGAAATAGAATAAAAAACTAGCTGTATTTTGTTTTAATTGTGTAATATTCATTTTGCGCCCTTTTCTGGGTTTCTAAACCTTTGATTTAATATTTCTTTAAATCTATTTCTGCATACAAATGCAATCTCGATTTTTAAAATCAAATCATAAAAAATCCACGAAAAAAAATTTTCCTGCTGTTTTTTAGCTTTTGTTTAAAAAGATTAATTGTCTATTTCTGTGATACACTCACTTACAACAAAACAACTTTGCAACAATTTCATGATATCAAAATAGAAAATATGAGTATAAAGTAATTAGGTATTTGCCCCAAACCCTCAGCCTGATATAATGTAAACCTTTATTTTTTTTTAAACTTACATTTAACAAAATTTACGACATTGGGTTGCAAATATAATGGGATTTGAATATCAGAGTTTGTGGCAAAGATTCAATTATGTTAATTATCATGAGACGGAAAATCTATGTCGCTTTCTAAGAAAAATACCTGCTTGTGCTCGTGTGTCTTGTTCATTGACTTTATTAAATGTTTTGGTGACTCGGTCGATATCAATCAGTTTATTTGGTTCAGGTAGATCTTCATAGGTTAGCAAGTGTTTATACCCTAAACAGATTGTTTTTATAACTTTTTTAAATTAAGGTTTTAAATGTTTACCCCTTTCAAATTATTCCAGGCGTCCTATAGTTTTCTTTAGACAGAGCTGCCTTTTACAGTTTCATTCACTGCTTTTTTAGAATTTTGAAGAGAATTTTAGACATATATCGGACAGAAATATTTAAGCAGTCTAAATCAATTTATATCAATTTTTTGGGTGATCCTTTAAAAGCTTTAATTTTTAGAGACTTTGAATATATTCAACATCGAGTTGAATTTTTTGAATTTAAATATTTATTCGTTTAAGTTGGGTTAAGTTGTTCTTTTTTACTTTGAGTTCAGAAAAAAAATGTTACAATATATTAATTTTTCAATAATGTTCATAAGTATTATATTTAAAAGGATTGAAGACGCGTGGTTTACGACACACAATTTTCAAAATAAACAATAATCGAAATATATTTTTAATAAATGTGGAACTAACATCTACTTTTTTTACTCTACAGAGGTTTGGTCCATCCGAATCACCGAAATTTTAAAGAAATGTGATGTTGCACATTAGACCTTGAATAAGAGGTTGGAATTAATAACCTTTAAATAGCAGGAGAAAGTGGTTAAACAATCCGTTCGGCGTTCCTATAGTTCAAATACGTATCCCTTGATTAATACCGCAAAAGGTTGCAAGAATATAAGGAAAATAAAGCTATAGAGTTCGAGGCGAGTGCCTTTGTTTTCAGATGGTTAATCGCACCCCTCATAACCAGGAAGTAAGGGATGAAATATTTTCCAATAGTTGCAAAATTCGACAGAAAATAAGACAAGAAAACTTTTCTCTGAATTGATAAGCTCTCCCATAAGAAGTAAACCAGGAAAAGAAAGCATGATGTATTCTCCGATAGTTTCAAAATATAGAAAATTTAATTCAAAAATATTCCCCTAAGCGTTAAAAAATGTTAAGCTCTCCCATAAAAAGTAAACCGGGAAAGGAAAGCATGACGTATTCTCCGATAGTTTCAAAATACAGAAAATTTAATTTAAAATATTCTCCTAAACTCTAAACAATGTTAAGCTCTCCCATAAGAAGTAAACCAGGAAAGGAAAGCATGACGTATTCTCAGATAGTTTCAAAAATATAGAAAATGAAATTAAAAGATATTCTCCTAAACTCTAAAAAATGTTAAGCACTCCCATAAAAAGTAAACCAGGAAAGGAAAGCATGACGTATTCACCGATAGTTTCAAAATACAGAAAATTTAATTTAAAATATTCTCCTAAACTCTAAAAAATGTTAAGCTCTCCCATCAGAAGAAAACCAGGAAAGGAAAGCATGACGTATTCTCCGATAGTTTCAAAATATAGAAAATTTAATTTAAAAATATTCTCCTAAACTCTAAAAAATGTTAAGCTCTCCCATAAAAAGTAAACCAGGGAAGGAAAGCATGACTATTCTCCGATAGTTTTAAAATACAGAAAAAAGCTATTTAAAAATATTCTTAACACTAAAAGCGTTGATCACTCCCTTGAGAAATATAACCAGAGCTGGGAACTTTTGAATGGTGGATATCGGGATTAATGCTTTATCCACTCTTTTTCTTTATCGCGAGATTTAATAACGCTTGTTCTCCTCTTGTTATTAATCTATTCACCGATCGGGATTAAGGATATCCCATTCTAAAGTTTTCAGCTCAGGAGTCTCCTATAGATGCAAAATAAAGAGAGTGAAAAAGTTTTGAACCAACCTTTAAAAAATGTTGAGCTCTCCCATGAAAAGTACAACCAGGACGGGAAGGATGAAGTATTCTCCGACGGTTTCTCAGTTCTCCAGTTAGGAAACCATTCACTGATAATAACAAAGAAAATCAGTTTCGTTAAAATATTTTTAAGTTTAAAGCTGGGCATGTGTGCGTGTTCACATATTACTTATAATTTTAGACTGATCCAATACCTTTTAGGGAAGAACCCGTCTTGTTTTTGCTAAATATTCCAGATTTTTAAATGAAATCTTAATTAATAACTTTTAATGGATTTAGTTTTCAATTACTGCTATTCACCCTGAACTAACGAGAGAGAGAAGCATTCGGCTTCTTGTATTTGAAATCAAACGTGTTTTCGTCTATAACTCAACTTACAGATTTGTTTATTTTATACCTTTCCATTCTAAATGTATATGCCAACAAAAAGGTATTTAATATAAAAGGCTATAAAATTATGTAAAAGGGGTCAAATTGTGATAGAAAGTCACAGTTATCTGAAATATTGACAGAACCGTTAAATCCACGTGTATTTGGAATTTAACAAAAATGTTTTTAAAAACTAAAAAAAATTATAAAACCGGTTCAAAGTTCAAATAAAAATGTCCTACCTACCTTATCAAAAGCACACAGGATATAGTATAGTAGGCAATAAAAGCTGGTTCTAATGCTGGTAGAAGTAGGTTCGGTATCAGGAATATTACTTGGAATAACCATAGGAAAAACTAAACAATTAACATAAATTAGAAAAAAAAGATTGAAAAGTTTTGAATAATTATTTCAAGTATGAATTAAAATTAAAATATGATTAAAAAATTTCTAATGATCAAAGATTAAGATTTTACAGTCTTAAATCTAACTATTCGTTTAAAAGTTTTTTTTGAAGCACGTTATGATGCAGAGAATGATTCCAATTCAGCTAGTTTGGAATGAGGATATAAAAGTAAACAGTTAATATGGTTCATTTTTATATTAATTTTTTGTTCATTTGTAATAAAACTCAACTGCAATTTTACTAGCGTTAAAGTTACATGAAAAGATCTGGATTTCTATGTACAGAAATTGTAAAACTCAGATCTTCTTATCTTCTCATTTAATATCAAATACATTTTTGAAATTGATTCATTAAATTTAAATATTTTTTTTCTCCCACTTTACAGCAAAGTAATTGAGTCTTTGGCACAAACTCCGGTTTTATTAACTCTATATCTTTGCAAGCTGATGGTTTAAACCTTTGATATTTCAAACTTTGGTTATTTGATAAAAAAAATCCATATTTTGAAATATCTGAGATCAAAGACATTGGGTTGCAAAGATAAAGGAATTCGAAGATTAGAGATTATGAGAAAGACTCAATATATTTAAACATTATGAGAACACAAATTCGTCCAAGAATCTAAGAATAAAATTAGCATTTTTGGTATTTTTTGATTACATAAGTTAAATGATGATAATTTACGGATGCTTAACTATTTTTTATACAATAAATTCTAATAAGATTTAACCTGAAAAGGTGCCGAGTAGGAACCTCTAGATTTCAACAGTACTTGAACTATTAAACTAAAACATTATATTCATAAAAATATATGAAAACAAATAAAAATATTACACCAAACTAAACATAATTTAAATAACAATGTTTTAATTAATGATTTCATAAATGGTATATTTTGAGTCAGGAAAAAAAATTTCTAAAAAAAAAATGTTTAATCATCCATCATTTAAATGGGTAAGGGTAATTTCAAGTAGACCCTTCATCATCCATGCAAAGATGGCAATGCCCTGTTTACAACGATAGCCTCAAACGCGTTGTCTTATTAAGTATGCATTAAATATCAAAATTTAAAATTTTGATTACAGATAATTTTTAATTGTTTTAAGAACAAACTAATTAATCATTTTGTGCATAAAGGTAATTACGGTTACGATTCTTTTTACTCCTCAAAATTACCTGACTACAACTATCTGAATGTTAACCCCAAAGAACAGAGCATCTACCAGATAAAGCAGACTAGTTTTGAACTCCATACTCGCCTTTAAAGGGACCGTTCACTTATTTGGAAACTGAAGGGCGTAAACCTCATATATGTTCCCATTTTTGACTATTTTTATCTGGCAGAATTAATAATTGGGCGAAACTAAGCTGTTATACAGACAATATCTGTCATAAACCAGTATTTACCTGAACTATTATACAAACAATATCTGTCATAAACTAGTATTTACCTGAACCATTATACAGACAAGATCTGTCATAAACCAGTATTTACCTGAACTATTATACAGACAATATCTGTCGTAAACCAGTATTTACCTGAACTATTATACAGACAATATCTGTCATAAACCAGTATTTACCTGAACTATTATACAGATAAGATCTGTCATAAACCAGTATTTACCTGAACTATTATACAGATAAGATTAAACCAGTATTTACCTGAACTATTATACAGACAATATCTGTCATAAACCAGTATTTACCTGAACTATTATACAGATAAGATCTGTCATAAACCAGTATTTACCTAAACTATTATACAGACAAGATCTGTCATAAACCAGTATTTACCTGAACTATTATACAGACAAGAGCTGATATAAACCAGTATTTACCTGAACTATTATACAGACAAGATCTGTCATAAACAAGTATTTACCTGAACTATTATACAGACAAGAGCTGATATTAGAAGAATAATCCTGAGAAGTAAAATCCAACTCCATGATCTCTTCACAATCCCAGACCTAAAAAGTATTTGTTAGATTTGAAGGTACTGTGAGTCTGATTTAAAGATTTCCATTAGTTCCCTGTCCACTATAGTTTCAGTAGAACTAAATATTTCCATTTACTGATAGCACCGATTGAAGGATTCATAACTCTGATCGGATAATGAAATAGATAGGAAGATAGATGTTACCGCCATACTATTTCTGTTGATTCAGAATAGAAACCAAACACATGACTGAACCCTGATTGGATCAGGCGCTTATGGACTCAACATACATGAGTGAGTGGAAAGACAATATTTACCTGGTGGAAAGGTTTACCTGTTGAAAATGTTTACCTGGTATGGTGGAAAGGTGTATCTGGTAAAAAGGAAAAGATGTACCTGGTTGAAAGTTTTACATTGTAGAAAGGTTTACCTGGTGGAAAGGTTTACAGGATGAAAAGGTTCACCTGGTGGAAAGGTATGCCTGGTGAAAAGGTTTAACTGGTGGAAAGGTTTACCTGATGGAAAGGTTTACCTGGTGAAAAGGTTATCTAGTTAAAAGTTTTTCTGGTTGAAAGGTTTACCGGGTGGAAAGAAAAAGATTTACATGGTGGGAGGGAAAGGTTTACCTTGATTTTGAAAGGTTTACCAGGTGGAAAGTGAAAGGTTTACCTGGTTGAAAGGAAGAGTGTGTAGAGTAAAGATATTATGGAACACGTAAATGAAGGAAGGATTAGCAAGGAACGTGAAAGACAGGAACTCAGGACTGGAGTACTTGTGTTCCAAGATTGGTTGACATCAAGGAACGTATCCTGAAAAGTAATATCAAAATAAATTTTACATTTAATAACGGCTAAAGGAAACATAATTTTCACTTATATTTAATAATAATTTGAAAGTAAAATTTAAATCTTATTTGTTTTCAATTCTAACTGAATCATAATTCTGTTATTATTGCTTTTTATATTTTAGAAGAAAAGATATATACTGATATAATACTGATATAATACTCATATTATAATTTAATCTTGACAAATATTCTAGAATTTTACATCTCACTGTTTTCCTTTTTTAATACTTTTGAAGTAAAAATTAAATGTATCCAGTGAAAAAGTAGAAGTCATATAAAAATGTTATTGAACTAAAACTTTGTTTAGCATAATTTAGTTATAAAGTAGAAGAAGAAAAACGTTTCAAGGGATTGTAATATATCATGATTGTATTTCTTAAATGATGTTACCTCACAAAAGGTCTCCATGTCATTCTATGTTCAATCCAACCTTTTAGTATTAAATAGGAAATCTGAAAAATTTACAAAGATTTCAATTTTTTATGGTTATTTTGAATACAAATATGGTTAAAGAGAAACCAAATCTATTTTGCTAAAATCTTTAATTTAACTATCAGAGCGGGAAACTTTTGAATGATGGATATGGGGAGTAATGCTTGATCCACTCTTTTTCTTAATCTCCAGATTAAACAATGCTTGTTCTCATCTGGTTATTAATCCCCAGTGTCCAAATTTAATGAATTTAAGCCGCGTCTCTAATCCCCCACAAACCGGTTTCATTTGAGCCCGGCTTAAAACTTGTAAAATTTAATACATATTTAAATGGAACTAACAAAATTTGAGTCGCGGCTTAATTAAATTTAAACTTCAGCTAAAATTCTTTAAATTCAACCTCAGATTAATTAACCGATCGGGATTAAGAATATCCCGTTCTAAAGTTTTCAGCATTAGTGAGAAAAAAGTCTTTTTATGTTTTAGCGCAAAGAATGTAAAGAAACTGTAAAGATAATAAAAAGATATTAATATATTGCAATTCTAAGGATGAATTAAGTCTTATGTCTAAAATGACATATTTAATGATGAAAGAAAAAAGTTTACAGTTGCAAGAAATGATAAGTAAAAGGTATCAGACAGTATAAATTCCGCACAGTCGTCTCTGAAGTCTCATGCTTTGTGGGTAACTCTGTAAACAAAGTTTTCTAATTTTTAATAATCACCTCCTTAATAAATGAATAATCTATACATGGCTCTTCACTATTGTGTAATGTAACATGAATCTATTAATCTGATACGTGATCAGTAATCAGCTTATCTGATTTAACACAAACATGTCAATTTCAAGGGTCAAAGGATTGGTCAAAGGAATTACTTTTTTGGTTTTGTTTCCGTTTTTCCATCACAAATCGGGATCTCAGCAAGGTAATAATGCAAAGAAAGTTATTTTAGAGGTGTACGCATCTTTTGTACTCCAGTTTACTGTCTCCGGGCGGTAATGTAAACACAAGATGGATGTTGAAACCTGGCATAGGATCCATCTATTCTTGTTTACAAATCCGCGCAGAGGGAACTGGTTTCAATATGAACGCAGAGTATACGCAACAGCAATTAACTTTCCTTGCATTATAACCTTGCTTTGCAGTGTAACAAACTTTCCACTCGAGTTCCAAAACAAAGAGCGTGTAAATACTCAAGTATGTAATCTATTCAACAGATAATTATTTACTGAAAGGTTTTCATTGCTTTTGTTTCTAAGATATACAGATACACGTTTTCCAAAAAATATTTTTAAAATCTGTTTTTAATTTTGTTAAGTCATTTGAGTTCAATTATTTGTGTGTAGTTTTTTTTTCTTTAGTAAAATATACCTTTTCCGGAATAAAAAAGGGGAAATTTCAAAAAATATATATTTCTTAAAATTCAGCCCCATGTAACCGCAAATATCATTGGCAATGTATACTATCAAAACAAAAAAAGATTTTCATTGAAGTTTTTTTAGGAAATCTTAGAAATTATTTGACACCTTAAACTCGTACTTAATTCTAAACCTAATACTAAATTTATGCTGACACTGATCTTGTATATAAACTCTTATCAATTTAAGTGCATTCTTTTTAAATACGAAATCTTTTTTTTGCAAAATGTTGTCTCGCTTTTTCTTAAAATGCAAGTTACTAACGTAGTTAAAGTACGCTTATGATTTAAACTTTTTGCGAATATTTATTTTGCAAAAAACGGATAAAACCTAGGTCTATGCAAATATTTAGTTTAGAAACTTTAAAAGAACCCGTATTAAATCTTAAAAAAATAAATTAGAATGCATTTTGTTCTTATTTAATCTCTATTTTCAAAAATTTTTTAATTCTTCTGACCTAAACTTTTTCTTATTTAAATATGTTTTGTTTTTGATCTTGTTCATGTTCGCATTCATGTTAATTTGTGTTCATGTTAATTTGTGTTCATGTTCGCATTCATGTTAATTTGTGTTTATGTTCGCATTTATGTTAATTTGTGTTTATGTTCGCATTTATGTTAATTTGTGTTCATGTTCGCATTTATGTTAATTTGTGTTCATGTTCGCATTTTTGTTAATTTGTGTTCATGTTCGCATTTATGTTAAATTGTGTTTATGTTTAAATTTATGTTCATGTTCGCATTTATGTTAATTTATGTTTTGGCAAAGACTAGGGTTATGTACGCTAAAAAACCTGAATATCTTCATTGTCCTCCTAATACACTAGAACTAAATTATAAATATCGTGTAGACTACTGTTGCGATAAACAAACCTATTGTATAACCGTAGCTCAACCTCAGGCAAAGATTATAAAATACTAGGATGTTATCATCCTCAATTCAAGTTTTGTTCCTGCTTTGCAGATGTTCTTTAATTTCTCTGGAAAAAACTTTTTTTTCTCTTTTTTCCTATGTAATTTGAATATGTAGAAATCCCGTAATACAGCAGGTTACAGTGAACATCTTGAAGAAAACCTGATTTTCAAGTTACAACCCCCCTGTAGCAATTTTCCCGTGGTTTTCTGCTTGGTTTCGTGGTTATATATAAGCAAGAGCGTATGTAATGCAAACAGGCAGTATAAACTATTTATGTAACCAGCCAAATATTTGAAATGACCATTTTATCGGTCAAAGAGTGTCCAAAAACTTTGAATTGGTTTGTTTGAACCATTTGTAGAAACTTTCTTCACAAAAAAGTACTGAGAAATAAATGTAATGTGCAATTTAAGAAAATTCCCACATATTATATAGAAAGGACGTTAAATAACAGTTATTATTCGTATCAGGTTGTAAAGATATAGGATTAGAAAAAAAGTTCTATTGATTCGTGATTTAAATTGCCGAGTGAAAACGAAAATGTTTAACTATTTTCGTGTGAACAAAAATTTTGAAGTCTCTTAAAACGTAGAAAAACATTGTCTGTGAACACCTTTTGTTCCATCTGTAAATTCGATCCCAAGAATAACCTATTTTTCCTTTTTTCAACAACAACAAAAATTACATGTTTTGAACAGTATCCACTCTAACTGAATTCGTCTGTAAACAGTGGAAATAGGTGTACAAAAAGCTTTCTTCTGGGGAGGAAAGCTTTCAAACCGATGACGTATGATCAAATTTATAAATATCGGCCCATTTTCATTAAACACATCAAAATAATGAGTTTTTTTCCTCTGAACTCACGATATATTCCTCCACATTTAATTAAGCTGTCTGTTTGGGTGTTTGTTTGTTTGTTTGTGTTTTGAGACTACATTTTGTGATAGTTAAAGATGTCACATGTAAAAACAAGATTAACTGCAATATTTTTTTTAAACCATGTTTTACAATCTACAAAAATAATTACCACTAGTAAGGTTGATAAAACTTTCAGTATCAAGAGAAAGAGAGAAAACAGAAATAAAGAAAAGGAAAGAAAAAGAGAAAATAGAAATAGGGAAAAGGAGAGAAAAAGAGGGAAAATAGAAATTGTGAAAAGGAGAGAAAAAGAGAAAATCGAGAAAAGAAGAGAAAAATAGAAAAATTGAAATTGAGAAAAGGAGAGAAAAAGAGAAAAAGAGAGAAAAAAGAAATGGAGAAAGCAAGAGAAGAAGAGAAAAAATAGAAATAGAGAAAAGGAGAGAAAAAGAGAGAAAATAGAAATGGAGAAAAGGAGAAAAAATAGAAATACAGGAAAGAAGAGAAAAAGAAAGAAAAATGAAAAGGAGAAAAAGAGAGAAAGAAAGAAAATTGAGAAAAATAGAAATGAAGAAAAGGAGAGAAAAAGAGAGAAAGACAGAAAAAAGAAATGAAGAAAAGGAGAAAAAAAGATACTGAGAAAAAGAGAGAAAGAGAGAAAAGAGAAAAAAGAAAAAGATAAAAATAGAAATGGAGAAAAGGAGAGAAGAACAGAGAAAGAGAGAAAAAAGAAATGGAGAAAAGGAGAGAAAAAGAGATAAAATAGAAATGGATGAAAAGCGAGAAAAAGAGAAAAAAGGAATGGAGAAAAGGAGAGAAAAAGAGAGTGAGAGAGAAAAAAAGAAATGGAGAAAAGAAAAGTTTTTTAATAATTTTAGGAGTTTTTATCATTTGGCATTCATTATTCTGACATTTTTGCAATTTAAATGATTGCTTGACCACATTATTTTATCTTTTTTTTACATGTCTGTAATGAAAAAGCTTTGTATATGTCTTTTATGGAAATAAATATATGAGAGATTCTATCTTCGTAAATGGGAAAAGCACCCATTCCAGTAATAAATGGGCTTTATGTATAAATGTAATGCATTTTCTGAAACGGATTGTCAGCGTTTTTTCAAGTAACACTCCGTGTGAAGATGGCAATGCCCGATTCACAAATGGTACCATTGAAACCTTTATCTGATTCCTATAAGTTTTCCTACAGCAGAAATTCGCAAGACACTTTATGGAGATACCACAATTGTAAATATACAGTTTTTAAAACTGCAAACATTGATATCTATAAGTTCATACTTGATCAGACAAAATTATCATTTATGCATTGCTAACTTTTCCCGGGGGGTCACGTGAAATTATGCACACAGTCCCTTTGAATAAACTATTCTAAACCTTATTTTATTTAAAATTTTATCTTTATTTAAAGATTTTGAACCCCGACTGTTGAGGATAAGTTGGTTAAGTGGACTAAGTAATATGGAAAATTAATTCAAAACTATTTGAACTCTTGTAACATTTTATTTTATTTCAGAATTATTTATCTTTGGATCAAGGAGAAACTTGTACAAAAGAAAATTAGCATAGAAAAAATCCAACTTAACCCTTTACAATGTCTTAAACTTTTATTTATTTTTTCTTCTCATTTCATCTCATTCTGAATCATCCATTGTCCGTTACTTTTCAATTTCTATTTCACGATTCATTTTCCCAACCTTCCAAGCAATTAATTTTCCCAATCTACTATGCAAATCTTTTTCCCAATCTGCTATACTAATCCTTTCCCCAATTCAACCCACTAATCCTTTTTCAGTATACTCCAATTTAATCATATTCCCAATTCAATCCTCTCGTTCTATTCCCAATTCAATTCACCTATATTCCCAATCTAATCCAAATATCCCAATCTACTCCTCTAATTATATTTCCAATCCATTCCGCTAATACTATTCCAAATCTACTCCACTACTCCTACTCCCAATCTACCCCACTAATCCTATTCCCAATCTACTCCACATGTCCTATTCCCAATCTACTCCACAAATCCTATTCCCAATCAACCCCACTAATCCGATGCTCAATCTACTCCACAAATCCTATTTCCAATCAACCCCACTATACCTATTCCCAATCTACCACATTAATCCTAATCCCAATTTATCCCAACTAATCATATTCCCAATTTACTCCACTAATCCTATTCCCAATCTACTCCACTCAACCTATTTCCAATCTACTCCTCTAATTATATTCCCAATCTATTTCACCAATCTTAATCCCAATTTACCCAACTAACCATATTCCAAATCTACCCCACTAATCCTATTCCCAATATACCCCTCTAATCCTATTCCCAATCTACCCCTCTAATCCTATTCCCAATCTACCCCGCTAATCCTATTCCGAATCTACTCCGCTAATCCTATTTCCAATCTACTCATATATCCCTCGGATTTGACCGATATATGTGTCATGAACTGAACCGAATAATAAATTGTTTAAAGTTGAACAAGAAATAATGGAATCACGCCTTTTAAGTTTAGATTCATTTTAGATTTGATTTGAGAGTTTGAATTGAGATGTTTTACAACGAACCACAACAATGGAGGGAGGGTCCTTTGTTACCAATATTGTTAAGGAGCGTGGACTATACAAGTAAACATATTAAAAATAAATTGTTTTCTTTTCTTAAAGGTGTTAAATAGATACATATGTATCAGGGTGTCCCAGAATACCAAAACTTTTAAATTTTTAATAATCTCGCTATGTTATGCCAAATTTCTAACAGCTTTACGTAAATCTTGGAGTTTGACAGATGCTAGGATTTTAACGCAAAACGCTAAAGTTAGATTATTAAAAGCTAACATTCAGATAGGGTTCGCTAAAATTAGGTTATTCTTAACTAACATTCCGATAGGGGTAGCTAAAATTATCTTATGAATATCTAAAACTAGTTCAATATCATTAGCGGACATTCATATAGATAGTATATTATGCGTAGGAAGTAAGTGTAATAATCAAAATTATTGTTAAACATTGAAAGAAAAACCGAGGAATAATTTTGATTATTCATCTCAGGAGCTTAAGTTGATAACTGGATCTGTATTTGGTTTGTCATTATTAGTAGCTTTACTGAAAAAAAATTCACAATTTTTTCATTAAGCTGATAAAGTGGTCAGTATTTTAAATTTGTTTAAATTGCACCCTGCGACCGACGGGTTTCCCTCACCCTCGTACGTGAAGGGATCCGGCTGGCAAGCACATTTTTGGAACAGCAAAGAGCCTGCCTATCCGAACATTTTCACAAGATTTTTGCACCTCGGGACTGGCATCAAATTGTATTCCTGCCTACACCTGGGTTATCCTTTGAGTTATCCTTTGGATAACCCTTTTGGTTATGCTTTGGGTTATCCTTTGGGTTATTCTTTGGATAACCTTTTTGGTTATGCTTTGGTTATGATTTTGGTTATCCTTTGGGTTATCTTTGAATTATCCTTTGGGTTATCCTTTGGGTTATCCTTTGGGTTATCCTCCTTTGGGTTATCCTTTGGGTTATCCTTTGGGTTATCCTTTGGGTTACCATTTGGGTTATCCTATGGGTTATCCTTTGGGTTATCCTTTGGGTTATCCTTTTTGACTTAATACTTAATTTCAAGTGAAACTTAAATTATAGAGTGGCATGTCAGATTCACAGCGGTTTTAATTCTTAATCCAATCAACAATTTTGACGAAATTGTCCTTTCTGAAGCTTGAAAAGTGTTTAATTCTGACAACTTTCTCCAGTGTTTCTGTAGCCAAAGATTCTTTTACATATAGAACCAAAATTTAAAAAAACAATTGATCTGTCACTTGAAGTTACTTGTATACAGTCCCTTTAGTAAGACGAGACCTACGGTATTTATCTTTATTGTCCAATATTTCAGATTTAGTTGAGGCAGACTAGGTTGGCTAGGAGCCAAGTTAAATTTTCAACTTTGTGATGTGTGTACACCACACTCGACACAGTTTATACTTTAGAGTGTTTACATTTCATGGGGTAAAGAGAATAGAGCGAGCTTGAGACACAACAGGATAAAAAATAACATGTTTGGTTTTTATTCTTGATTTAACTCTTTTTCACAAAAGGAATTGAGTTATTCCTAGAAAATATGATTTTCTAATATCTTAGTAACCTGATGGCGTAAACATTTGATATTCAAAACTTAGATTTTCTGATCTGACAGAATTCATAGTTTGAAAAATGTAAGGTCCGTGACATTGGGTTATAAAACTATAGTGGTTAGAAAATCAGAGGTTGTGGTAAAGACTTAAATCCTTTCATTTCTTATAATGGTTTCGGAACAGAAAAAAGTTTTAGTTGAAAAAAAAAATCAGATAACCTTCATGATATTTTATATTAGAAATTATGTTCGTTTTATACTCTAATCTCCAAATCATTGCAGTCGGATGTCGCCAACCTGGGTTCAATCCAAACAGATTATCTAGTACAATAGATGGCAACGTAGAATTCGTACACTCACTCTCAGTAAAACTGTATTCACAAGTGTCAGCAGTATGTCCGACAAAATTATTAATTATAGTCATAATAATTATCTTACAGCGAAAAAGTGCAATTTTGTTTTCGTTATTTTCTGTTTTTTACACTTTTTATTTAATCTTGGAAATCATGTTAACTAATGGAAGAAAATGTTGACTTCCTTCTTATATTTGACACTAGTGACGCCATATTTAATTGGTTTATTTCTCTGTTGCCACCTATTGTACTTGATAACCTATTTGGGTTCAATCTACAATGATTCTCTAAGATAAAGCATCCAAAACTAGAGTTAAACGAGTATTTAGATCCTTTTGAAGTGACATTGCAGACTATTTCTGAGATTTCTTAAGACAGAAAAATTCTGACTTACATTGTACTTGTTTTATTACCTAAATACATTACGGAAGGAAACTAAATCTAAAACTGACATGAACATTTTGTTTTTGGATTTTTAGAAACTGTAAAAAGTAGAAAATTAGGAAAATCTTCATTGCTCATATTTCATAAGAGAATGTTCTGTATTTGATAATGTGGAAGAAAAAGGGAGAAATTATTTTACGAAGTCAACCATACTCCTCTCTTCTCCTGAACGAGTTTAATCACATCAGATGCTGTTTCTGCTTTCTCCCATTTAATACAGGACCTCGCAGAAAATGCCGCAAGTATGAGATGCTTTTAGATATTTTCAAAATTTAGCTGAACTTACATTTACAATAAATTTGATAATTAATAATCGACTTTCATTGAAGTTTGATTTTTCCAAAAAAAACACCCTCCTTAAATATTTGATTTTGATAAAACTGTGGAATTAGTGGACGACATTTAAGCAATTTTATATATATTTATATCTTGCTATATCGCAAATACCTTAACTTAAAAAAATCTTCTTATCCCACAGATTTATTAGTTCTACTGTGGTATGACTATGGGCAGCTCAATTGAATCACAAATATTGAATCAAAATTTCACATTTTTTCATAATCTTAAATTTACAACAGGATTATTAATTTCATGAATATGATCGTCTAAACATAAAAAAATATGATCTTCTAAACATAAAACAATATGATCGTCTAAACATAAAACAATATGAACTTCTAAACATAAACAATTATGATCTTCTAAACATAAAACAATATGATCGTCTAAACATAAAACAATATGATCTTCTAAACATAAACAATATGATCGTCTAAACATAAAACAATATGATCGTCTAAACTTAAAACAATATGATCGTCTAAACATAAAACAATATGATCTTCTAAACATAAAACAATATGATCGTCTAAACATAAAACAATATGATCGTCTAAACATAAAACAATGCAATTTCTTGTCTTTTTTTTCTCATTTTTTTGTCTACTTTCAGGGAGTGTAAGAGTAATTTCAAGTTAACCTCCATAAAAAGATGGCAATCCCCAGTTTACAAGGCTGTTTATTTGCATTTTTGATTTCTCTGCAAAAATTACTTACGCATTTATTGCTTATAAGAAACAATGATGACATTCACAGAAATACACAGTTTTCGAGTCAGAAAACCGACAATATCTTTCACATCTTTATTCAGATTAAATATTCAAGGTTACCGTTGTAAATCGTACATTACTATCTTTGCGCGCATGTAGGCGCACTTAAATTTACGCTCATGTTTAGAGAAGGGTGTGTATACAATGGTGAATATTGTTCTGTAACCTGCGCAAACTCAGATAAATTACACTCATTAGGAAAATCTTAGTTTCAAATCAAGAAACTTTTTTTTATTATATCACATGTTTTCTTTTTCTTCCAATACCGTACTTTGTTTTGATTCTTTTTTATTCTAAAATATTCTATTTTAGAAATAACCTTAAATAAGATTGTTGGTTAGAGTGTGATTTGTTAGCAAATGCTGGGGAGTTAATGGAAGATTTTACACATTTTATTCTTAGGAACAAACATATCTATAAAAACTGTTTTAAATTTAAGAATTTAATTTGAAGTTTTTTTTACATATAGTGATAACCAGAAAACAATGGAATAGGAAGACGACATTGCAATAGAAATACTCAAGTGTATTTTAAGGTGTTACAAAGCAAATAGTTTTACTAGACAGTTATAAAATTACTTTTTTGTAAGATGGGTCTGTTTGCACTGCACAATTGATTTTTAAATTTTAAACTTGAATATCAAAGTCATCTTACTTTTCCAGAGTTTTCTGGCTATCACTGTAAATTTAACATGATTCAAGTTTTAAAAAAGAGTTCTTATCTTATTAGAAGATAATTTTTACATAATTGTAATGCATTTATCAATGCAATTTTGCAGTTTACTTAAGATACCATAATGCATTTGCTATTCTCATAAGAAATAAGACCTCAATGCCTACCCACATATATTTCATTGTGATCAATTAACTTTCCAATTACATGATGTCACAATGAAAAAATATCAACAATCTATAGTGTCTGTGGAAACCCAGCTATTCATTGCACATATTTGTATGTTAAATATATTTGGCAATGCCAGCAAATGAATCTTTTATTTTTATAACCATCCTGAAATCAATAAATGTTCGGAAACTGAAAGGTTTGCATTTAAAACATCTAGTTCACTAATAAAGAGATTGTGCCTTTTGTTTAATAATTGAATTAAGTCTATCAAAAGATGATAAATTTTCTATTTTAAGATCACAAAATAGAGCAATTAGCACTCTGAAGGAACTGAGCCTTTGCGTCCATTTCAAATTTTCTAATCCTTGTATTTTTGCAACCTGATGATGTAATCCTTTGATATTTCAAACTTAGATTATTGGATCTAACAGAATTTATACTTTGAAATATTTTAGGTCTACGGCAAAGATATTGGGAAAATCAGGGTTTGTGGCGAAAAAGCAATTCCTTTCAAATAACGATATAAAGAACACTGATGTTCAACTAAGTTTATTTCGCGAACACTCCCTTAACGTATTGCATGCAGAAATAAAAGAAACGTGTATATTTACGAGGTTTTAAATCTTTTAATGTCTTGATTCGAATTTGGCCCAATTTAATAGGGTACAGTGAAAATTGTACAATACGTAATTTGTTCTATAATTCTGTTTCATATCAAAAACTTTTACATACAATTTTTCAAACTTTTTCGAAAAGGCCTTTTTTATTTTTAAAGAGTTTTTATACAAAAGTATTACTTTTATGATTTCATATTTACTACCGGGTACCAAATAGAAAGACAACTCAAATTAAATACAGTATATTTACTGTCATTTGTAGGCTTTATTCTGTTTTTTTTTCTCTCCTTAAAAATGGCGTGTAATGGATAGTCTAAATGGGGGGGGGGGGGGTCCACTCCCCTAGAAAAAGGCATTAGAGTAAGTGTTTCTAAGTATATAATATGTTCACTGTTCAATTACTAAGTCCAGCTAAATTTTAGAAAATTTAGACCTCGAACTTTTTGAGACACAGACCGCCATCTATTTTACCCTATACAAGATGACTATATTCATATAAGTTTTACAAAAAGTCATTTTTTTACCCTGTCTTAAAATAACGACATTTTAACAATGACTCAGTACACATAATAGCACCATACACAACAACAAAATTTAACAATAACATTCAAAATGTTTTTATCATTTATTAAAAAAAAAATTTAGAGCACACACTTGGTTTTCTCTGATTTCAGTAGACTCTTCGATTTTTAAAGCATGAAGCCATACGTTTCTTCTTGTTCAGAGGGAGCGTAAACCTGGATGTCCCAAGGGGGGGACGGCATCCAGGCACAAAACAAGCTCTTCCCCTAAACAAATAAATATGATTAAATAAAACAAAAAAGATATAACACACATGATAATGTAATGTTGACTTTCACTAATGTAATATAGTTTTAGGTCATCTTTACAGTCTCATCCTTTATGGGTAACCCTGTATATTTTCCATTAATTTCTTAATTTAAACACTAATTTTTCAATATTTCTTATGTGCTCCCAAAAATTGTGAAATACGACAAATCAGAAAAAAATAAATACCCTTTAAAGACGACATTTCATTAGAAAACTATCTTTTCTTGTTTTACATAGACTACTTAATGAACTTAATGTTATTGTTACAATACAGTTTAACACAGAACTTCAGATATATCAAAATAATTTATAAAATGTCGTCTTGGCAATTTGTTAAACAATATTTTAACAAAATCTAAGCAATTGTATAAGAAATAAATAATTAGATATGAAATATGCGGGAACAGGTTTAAATAGCTCCATATGGTTATTCAACTAAAAACTAATTATCTGCAAAATTTTATTTTTAGCAGGTTTTGGAAAACGACAATTTGTAAATGCTTTTGATGTCTCCTAAGTACTGAGTTAAACTAAAGAAAATGACATAGTAAACAGCAAGGAGTCTATAGGGTTACTTTTTACAATACGTCTTCTTGTAAAAACTTCATGGAGTAAATTCAATTCTTTTAATTGTTATATCTTTGCAACTTTATGGTTTAAACATTTAAAATTTCAAACATTAATTGTGCAATCTAAAATTTACAGTTTGAAATATCTAAGGTTTACGACCTGGGGTTTGTGGTAAAGAATCAATTTATTGTGTATGTTATTTAGATCTTTTCTAACAAATATCTATTATTAATTTAATCGAAAATTTCTTAAAATTCATCAGATTGAAATTTGAATTATGTTATGTTTGGAACTGTGAAGGACGTGGCTCAAGCAGAATCAGGTTAAAATTCAGAATAATAAGAAGAATAAATAAAGATGCACAATTCCTCTAAATGCCGCCCCCCCCCCTATCTTCCAAAAAATAGATAACCACTAACAATTAATGATTACATAACAAAATAACGATCAGTAACATACTAGATATCACTATTAAACTTACTGAAAAAAGCGGCTTTAATTCAGCATAGGTTTGGTCTAAATTTTGTAATTTTTTCTCTTTATCCCAAAACAAAACCTAACGATTTTAAAAGAGAATTAAAATTAAAATTTTGTAAATTTAGATCTACATTAGCTTTTCCAAGATTTCATTCCATCTCTGAAAAAGTCGAAATATGAAAACTACAATTTTATTAAAAACCAGCTGGAGTCTCCGGCGCTGCCCAGGTTTTATTACTATTTACAGTCTTCTTTAATTCCACCATTTACCCGCGCTTGGTATCAAATTTTTATTTAACAATTATAGCGCGACAAAAAATCTAATTGTTTTAGCCTATGTCACCCCAGTAGTGCCCATGGGTTCCCTCAGAAAGTTTCAGCCAATTTGGTCCATTATCCATAATTTAAATATAAAGATAATTCTAGGATTATAAGGAAGACGACATTACATCTGAAATAGTACCTGGCAGAAACAAACCAAGAACATTCGAGGAGTTTTTAACACATGAAGCAGATCTAACCAATAATACAAAGAAAATGGGCCATATTCTAGATCATTACAAGTAAATATAAACAAAAAAAATAAAAATGAATATTTATTAAGAATTTCATTGTCAAACAACTTTTTTGTTGAACAAATTAGTTCTTATTTTTGAAATACTACTGACAATTTGAAATATCTTGATATCTTTCAAAGAATGCAGTAAGACAATATTTATTAAATTAAGAAATTGTAGTTAAGTTTTTTTAAATACATATATTTTAGAATTCTGCAGAATTATTTAATGGACGATGGACCCTCATTGAACGAATTTATCCAGCTGTACGGCCGAATTGTGATAAATGATTTTGCTTTATGGGACGAGACAGGAGAAACATATGGGTAAAAATTCATGTTGAAAGTTAATTAATTTTTTTAAAGTTTGATGCTTGGCCTTTTGGCGCTATGCGCCAATTACTTTATGTAAAAGTTTCAATTGTTAAACGTTGCTGCCATCTACTTTGTAAATCGTATTTTGCGGATTTTTCAGTTTATATTTGCGCATTTTCAAAAATATTAAATATTGACATTATTTTCGAGCAAAATTTTTTATCTTTAACCATCCTTGTGAGGTCCCCCCTATACAAGATNCAATCTATAAACTTATTTTCAATCTATAACTTATTTCCAATCTATAACTGATTTCCAATCTATAACTTATTTCCAATCTTTAACTTATTTCCAATCTATAACTTATTTCCAATCTATAACTTATTTCCAATCTATAACTTATTTCCAATCTATAACTTATTTCCAATCTATACCTCATAACCAATCTATAAATAATTTCCAATCTTTAACTCATTTTCAACATATAACTTATTTTCAATCTATAACTTATTTTCAATATATAACTTATTTTCAATCAATAACTCATTTTTAAGCTATAACTCATTTTTAATCTATAACTCATTTCCAATCTATAACATATTTCCAATCTATAAAATTATTTTCAATCTATAACTTATTACCAATCTATAACTTATTTCCAATCTATAACTTACTAATGTATAACTTATTTTCAATCTATAAATTATTTCCAATCTATAAATTAATTAATTACTTAATGTATAACACAGGGTAGAGAACTAGTAATGCGAAGTTATATAGATCTAGAGAGAAAGGACATGAGTCAAGTTAAAATATCGTACATAGGTGAGCTGCATATTATACTCTAGATCGTATTCAAACAAATCCCAACCCTACTCTCTATCACTAGAATTACATCATTTTGTTATTCTATATATTTTGCCAAAAAAGTTGGCATCATCAGGAGTTCGTCCTATAATATTACAGTTAAAAGCTAAAAAATCCCTATATCTGAGCAACCCAATGTTGTAGACCTTGTTCAAACTATGAAATCTGTTTTATCAAATAATCTAAGTTTGAAATGCCAAAGGTTTACATTTTTAGGTTACTCGAATATATAGGCATGAAAATAATTGATTTTGTGGCAAAAACTCAGCTCGTTTATATAATAAATTATACAAAAAAATACTCAGCTCGTTGTAAAATAAATAATAGAAAAAACTTTAATAAACAAAGAACAGAGCAAGAAAATAGTGTAACCTTTACAATAAGGAATTTTTCGAATGAATAATGTTAAAACAGATGAAACTTAAAAAGACAAAATAAGAACTAGAAAACCGTACCTTTCTCCTTTGAAGGGTATTGAATGACTGGAAAAGCAAAAAGGATTGACTACGTAGTTTATGGGCGTATGCAGAGTGGGGGGGGGGATGTTGAAGGGGGTTTATTTCGTCGGCAAAACGGTCAAATTCATGAATTCGATCAAGACTATATAAGGTGCTGTTGGTTATACATAAACATACAGTTTAAAACAAACATAATTCATTTTTTAATAGTTTTAAAGGAAACATGGTTTCCAAACTTGATATTTAGATTTTACCGTCGTTTAACTGCATTGATTACAGAACCAATTAATACTTAATCTTTTAATACTTTATCAACCATTTTTCTAAAGAAACCAGTCTCCTGTTTTTAATTTCAGGTGACCCTCCATTGAGTGGCAAGTCCGATCCTCAGAAGCCTAAATGTATTATTTAGATATCCATATTTTTATTTTTGACAACTGTGATTGTTATTGGGGTTTCTCTGTACCATTTTTCGAACATTTTTTGTTTCTGTAAATTGTCAATCTAGCATTTTAATAGTATTGGGAAAGCAGGGAGGCCGCAAATATGTAAATATAAGATAAAAATAAATTTTGGGGATTCCGTTGTCCAACTGAAAAGTTCATCGACCATTTCGAACTTTTGTCCGCAGAACAATATTTTTGAAAGAATTACTTTAGATGTGTTTACACTATGTTTCAAAAATATTGAATTTTACGTGAAATGGACTATACATCTTTATACAATCAATTATACAATACATCTTTATACAATCAATTATACAATACATCTTTATACAATCAATTATACAATACATCTTTATACAATCAATTATACAATACATCTTTATACAGTCAATTATACAATACATCTTTATACAATCAATTATACAATACATCTTTATACAATACATCTTTTAAAGTCACAGCACTCGGTTCCCCTGGTCTATCATAGCCTCGGAGCTGGAATGCATGGCTCGGCCCACCCTTTCTGTCCTAGCTCTTAAAATTTTTTAATACTTATTAATTAGTTGTTTTCATGTTTAGAATCTAGTGAGGAAGATGTCTACGTGAGAAGAAATAAACTTCTTAAAAATTAAGACTAAGACTAAGACTAAGACATCGGGTTGCAAACATAGGGATTAGAAAATCAGACATTTCCCTAAATATATGATCAACAAAAAAAAATTAAAAAGACTTATTTTTAAATTATTTGTTTTAAGTCATCAAAAGAAGACGACATGTTGAGTTTTTAAATGCCTAATATTATAATATAAATACTACTATATCAGAAAATTTACTTTAAAAAACTTATTTTTGTTTTTATGAGTCACAAAGGCTTTGGTTGTTAAACTATTGTTACAAGTTTTTAAGGAAGTTAAACAAATATCGCCGTTCTTGTCTTGTTGATTTGTTGATTTTGAATTGTAATAAAAGTTGTTTAACCCAATTTACACTGATGTCTGGTTTCATGACTGGTTCCCTGGGGGGAGGGGGGGTCAAATGGACCCCCCCCCCTCTATTTTTATATTGTGATACAAATCTAAAAAACATTTGATACGTTTTTGGAGAGCCATTGGGCCCTACTTCAATAACCTGAAAAAATACAAATTTGCAAAAATCCAAATATTAATTGCTAAATCTAGAAATATTCATTTTCGAAATTGTGCTAAAGAAATTGCGCAAATTACAAAAAATTATAAAACTGAAAATGTGCAAATTTTCTTCAAAGGTGTCTTTGCAAAAATCTATGCAAAATTTCTTTGCAAAAGTTGTGCACTCTGGTTGCTTTTGTTATAGGCTTTCCAAAGAGCTATATAATTTTGAAATCCAATGACTAGAAGTAGGTCTAAATATAGATATAGTCTGGTATGGGTAAAATAAGGCATTCTTTCAGTATTCCTGAGGACTCAGGCAGTAGGTATAAAAGCCCAGCTTTTAACCTTAAGTGATGGGCATGTGCTAGTTTGAAAATTCAGAAAATTTGAGCTTCATAGGTCAAACACTTTTTTAGTTATCGCAAAAAATTATGGGGGGGGGGGATAAAAATACACACCATACAATCATTCCCCCCCCGGTAAATAGGGTTAAACATGTTATGTTTTCAGATGTCTAGTATTTACAACAAAATATAATATTATTTTTTTATTTTTTTTTTTACATTTTTCACATGCGCTAAAGCAAGTGCAAATCATTAATCTAAGAGGCGACTTTAGAAAATCTTGCGTGACCCATAAGCTGTTGAACTTCTTTAATACAACTTTTTCATTAGATTATCTAAAATCCATATTTTGTCTCTCAACTGTCACGTATAGTTGGACACCTTGTAGCTGCATAGTTCTTACGACGGATCAAATTATGTATAGTTGGACACCTTGTAGCTACATAGTTCATGCGACGGATCACATTATACAAGGACATGATATTCCGTGCACCTACTAGGGCTGGGCAAAGTTTCGATAAGGAAACGGAGATTTTTAAAAATCATATGAAGAGTCGGTTAACGAACGCATAAAACCGTTAATTTTTAAATCGTTAACTTTTAAAAGAGAAAAATTAACGGTTGAAAAACACGAAACGGATAAGTTTTAAAATAACGGTGACTTTTTTCTTTTTTCCTGCTTAAAAATTAAATAAAGAGCTATTTTTTACATTTTTTTATTTTTAAATATTTTAATGTTTTTAAGAGTCGTCTTCTGTTTTCCACCGCGTATATATTTATAGAATTTTGGTGTTTTTACGTGTTTTAAAGTTTTTAAATGTTGTCCTTCCGATTATGTCCAGCTATTTTAATACATTATTGGCACAGTTAATGACTTCAAAAAATATCTCCTGTTATCGCCGTTAATAATATTGAGATCATTAAAAAAATAACGGAAAATATAGTTAACGAAACGAAAGTTCTATGAAAAGTGTTAACGGTTTTAACGAACCATTAACGAACGACGTGAACAAAGTTAGAACATGCCCAGCCCTAGCAGAGACTTGATGCTTCTTACGTTGAATTGTTGATCAATGATAGGTTGAGGAGATCATGATTTCGTACAGACGTGTTCTAATATATCATGAGGATATATCATGTTCATGTCAGACATAATCAAGAATATATCATGGTCATGTCAGACATAATCAAGAACAGGGTTTCTCATAGATTAAACAGAAAGCCAGAAGAAGCAGGATATTTTCTTTTGACATTTTCAATCACAGAGAATGATTTAAAAACTGTTCCTTCTTCGCTATGATTTCTCTATTGGGGGTTAAGGTTTTAAAGGTATTCACCAAACCTCTCTTGCATGAAATTTGGAACCCGACACTTTATCATTTATCATGCCATGACTTTTTTTTTTAACTTATCGCAATCAATTCCTCTTGGACTGTTTCCAATATCTTCTCGTTTTCTTTGATTTTTAAAATATTCTATTACAGCTTTCTCTTCTAAATCTCCCAAAGAAATTGAGTCTTTGCCACAATAAAATCTAACAGAATTCATAATATGAAATATCTAAGGTCTACGAAATGGGGTTGCAAAGATAAAGGGATTAAAATATCTGAGTTTGTGGCAAAAACTCAATTAAGTTTCTATGCTTCAATTGTTTGATAAATTAACCTTATCCCGATTGGGCTATTTTTTGGGTCATTTTTGTCTAATATAGATTGGGGGTGGGTGTTTTGAATTGAGATAGGAGAGTGTGATATATGCCCCTAGTCCAAATTTTCAAACTTTTT